ATATAGAAGGATTTTCCATTATAAACCAACCATTTTCGGGTATGTACCCCCATTTATGGAAACCTGGATGGCACCTGCTCCAAGGATTTCGTGGTGCCATCAACGTAAACGATGGACTCCTTAGTTGTCAACCATCTTGTCTTGGTCGTAGGCATGGAAATATAGCCAACCACTACAAAACCACAACTTCAAGATGGGGTGATGTTGAAGGCCATGCGGATGTGTGTGTGTGTGTATATGTATATATGTATATATATATAGATATTCGAAGTACATATGTTAATAACTATATAATAATAATAATTATTATTATATATGTATGTATGTATAATTATATGTATTGTACGAGTACGTATTCAATATAGATAGATTTGTGTGAGGATAGAGGGGTATATATATATACATCCATACACACAGAGACGCATTGATGGATGGGAAGATGGATATATAGATGGAATTGACAGATAGAAAGATAGGTGGATAATGGTGGATAGGCAGACGGACGCAATAGATTGGTACCTAGATAAGTGGACTAGTAGATAGGTAGGTAGATGGGCAAATAGAAGATAGATAGATTCATAGAGTCATAGATTTATAGATTCATTAGATAGATAGATAGATAGATAGATAGGTAGATAGGTAGATAGTTAGGTAGTTAGATAGATAGATAGATAGGTAGATAGATAGATAGATATGCAGATAGGGTGAGAGCAAATTAGACAAGACAAGATTAGATTAGATCAGTACTGGATTGATTTAGATTTGAATGGAAAGATGGATTTGGATAGATTAGACCATATTTTGTTAGGTCAGATACGATTTGAAAAGGTCAGATCGAATTGAACTGAAATGAGATCATATTTGAATATTGGAAAAGACTAGAAAAGATAAGAGCACATATATACATATATATATATTATATAAAGATCTCAAAATAAGCTAGGATAGACTAGATAGAGTGGGTCGAGTCCTTAGTAAGATTAGATCTGAAAGCTTCCATCGCTGGATAGTTAAGAAAAACATGTAGATAGGTAGGCAGGTACAAACAACTGGGGAGGTTTATTGACACAGATCATGATCAATTGGTTTCGGGAAGCCGCTGGGGTCCCGCTGGTCACCAAAGATTCCCTGTGAAAACCTTCTCTGCACCGGTTTAAGCATGTTTAAGATTGTTTAAGCTACATTCGTACAAAAAGGCACGACAAAGTCTTTTCCCTGCAGTTATCTCATTAAATAAATCACAAACTGATGGATTTGCTGGAATTCCCTCTAGGTTTGACCACAGCATCTTCAGTCTTGGTCAGTGGATCCATCACTGTCACAAACCATCCCTTTTTTGTGCCACTTTTTGGGTTGGTGAATCTCCATGGTCATGGCAGTTGCCGACTCGGCTCTTTCAAAATGCTGGCATTCTGCTTTTGCCCCGCTCTGCCGGGCGGTTCAGGTGGATAGACGTCACCTAACTTCACGGGGAGAATCTTGATCTTCTTCTCGTGTGCGTACCTGAACATTTTGGCCCGGTTGATCAAAATGGATCAAATCCTTGGAAAAGAATCATGCTAGATATATATGTATATATATATATATAGAAATATTGGAAAATAATAAAGGTTACGAAGATTTGTATCCAACTCTTTACCCTATCCATTCCTATCCTATCCTCTGATGTCTGATGCTGCATCATGATACATCAACTGGATTCAAATGGCTCAACATTACTTCAACATTAAGGTAACCAACATGACGGGTCAGTTTGTGGCAAGGCGCCTCAGCTCATCGTAGGTTTCAAATCCCGCGCCAGTGTGTTCCCCGTAGTCATCAAAGCAGAATGCCACCATCACTTTGGCCTTGTCCAGCCCATCCTGGAATTATACTACTGCAGCTGTCACCTGGACTGCCCTTTTCTACTTGACAGATGTTTGGCAGATTCGTAGCCCCGTCCTTTGTGACCTCAACAATGTCTTTGCCAGGGACCGGTTCACAAAGAAAGGTGGGAATGTCATTCTTTTCAAGCAAACCCTTCATCTTGTGCATGTACCAGAACTTACCTGGCAAAATGATGCAAAACAGTGCAAAATGAACAAAATCGGCCAGCAAACATCCAACTTGCTGAGGGTGGCAATGTGGATGAGTTTTCCTAAAACTTGCAAGACTCGGCATCATGAAATGAGGAACACTTGGGAATCAAGCAATACATAGAAGATCATAAAAGCATAATTCACATGCTTGTTTACGTTCATGCTTGAAAATCATCATCTAACAAGCTCTGAAAAGGCAGACCTTCAACGCATCTATGTCTGTCCCCTGTCCAAGCAGCGTTCGGTGTTGAAGCGTCCCGAAAGATAGAGATGTCCACCATGTCTTGGGGCAGTTTCTTGAACAATTGGCGTTGCCAAAATGCCTCAGCCGAGACGGGGTGAAAGTTGTGAGTTCAGAAAAAAACAATAAGATACTCTTAAAAGGATAGGATTTGCTTAAGATGTTGGATACTTCAGAATACAATGGTTAAGATACTGGGATTTGCTTAATACTTAAGAATATATTCATACATTCACGATAAAACGGCCTAGATGTTGGATTCACCGAACAAAAAAACTTCGACAGTCAATTGGTATCCCCTTCAAATTGTTGATTCCAGTTTCATAGTCCTATAGGAGTTGCTTGTTCCATGAAAAATGGCTAAACATCAAGCTACTCACCAACCACCAGTGAGTCTACCCCACCTCTCGGAGAAGTTTCGTTGAGCTCTGGCAACCCGGCCTGGCACCGAAATCTCATCGGCTCTGATACGGAAACGTTTGAAACTCTTGATTTTGATTTATATACAGTGTGTTGCTTCTTAGTAGTGTAATGTTGGAAAAAAATGAGACTGAGATTGAAACTGATCAATGATCAGCGAATGTATTACTCTTATTTTGTAAGGAGTGATGCAGAATAAAAACGACCAAGTCGCCTGAATGTCTTGAAACTGAAACTCTTGAAACTGAACCTTGGGCGAGCCCACTTTGGGCGAGCCCACTTTGGGCGAGCCCACTTTGGGCGAGCCCACTTTGGCCTTAGCTGTACAGCAGGACTGCAGGAAGCAGAGATGCACAGGATCGACAAACTATACTAGTATAATTTGCATAGACTTATACATACAGTAGCGTAGTAACTAGTATGTACAATATATCATGTACACATCTTATACAAATTAGTTTACTAATGTATATTCTATTCTATAATATTCTACACATATTTACAAGGAATGTTCAAGACCTCATCTAAAATCTCCCAGCCCAGCTTCCACTGGATCTTCCTCCGGCACTGATGACCCAGAGCCCATGCCCAGCCGCGCGCTTAAAAGGTACACCGGTTTTGCGATGGAGATACAATGGGATGGATATAGTATCAACTTGTGGGATATTATCCTTTAAATGTGAGCTGGTACAGACTTCTTTATTAATTTATCAGGGATATATATATAATCATATCAAATGAGACATCGATTTTTTGGGGCGGAACCAATGAAAAATTGGATCAGTTGTCAGTCCACCAACGTCTCAAAGAGCTGACTTTTTAGAGAAGAAATCAGGCGTGCCATGGCCATGATGTTGCTTTGTTGGCTTTGTCCAAAAGCGAAGGATACCCAAATGAGTCCAAATAAAGGGTAGCTTTAACTGTCATACAGGACCTACTTTGGGGTCCTGTCCAGGCCGAGGAGCCAATGCTGCATGGAATCAGTGGCCTTACCTAGCCTTACCGTAAGCATCAGATGTGGTGGCATCGCCTTTAACATCCAAACACACATCCATTTTCAAGTGCTGCTGGTCCATCCACATGCGTGTAGTCTGGACTTCTGAGCTGCTTGATAATCCCATCCAAATGTAGAAAGTATGTAGAATAATGTATATATATATATAGATATATCCACCATACATCTTGGCTTTGTAGATATAAACAAACTATAACAAACTTACTTATCTGGGGGGAGCCGTCCTGGATACAATGTTGTTCTGAAATACAGAGCACATATCCAGGGTACTGAACGGATCACAACTGGAAGAGGCTTTGGGATATTGCCACTCTGACTACCCCCCCCCGGAACCAAACCCAAAATGCATTGAATCCAAATCCAGAACGCCAGGTCTACAACAATCTGATTTTCCAAGTGATTTAGGTAGGAATTGTGTTTGCGTTCTGGTCAACAAACCATGGCAATCAGAGTCTATTGGTATGTTGATCATGAGTCGTATAAACACATACACATACCCATACCCAAAATGTGCTGTTGGAACTCACAATCTTGGAGAAACCACCGCTGTTACAACTTTCAGCAGTGCCAAACTGACCTCTTCCGGTGGTTCTCAGCGTCCCGCTGCAAGCATGCCTAAGCCGCAGCTTCGGTCCATCAGGTTTGACCCAAAACTGTGAAACTAAAGTAACTAAAGCGTTAAAAAAAACGGAGTGGATCCAACATCACTGCAGCAGTGTTGTAACTCTCTAAGAGCATAGCCCTCCGCAATCTACCAAAAAAGGAATTCCACCTTCATCTATTCCCACTGATAATCTAACCTGGCAATGAACCACATTTCCATTCATAGATGAGTTTCATATGTTTTCACTAGGAACATGTTCCCAGCAAACCTTGGGAAAGTCCTATTGCATCCTACATTGCCCTTGAGGCTCTGACCATGTCTTTGGCCTGGACAGCATCACATGTGGATAGTTTGAGACTATGGCTCACATCTTCATGGCTCCAAAATAGACAGGCGAGGATTGCTTTCGGTAAAAAAGTCAAGCATGGCAGTGTCCTAAACATGGTGTCCTTGAGTACCAGAAAAACATCTGATGGGAAACCCAGTAAATAAAACATCCTCATGTTTGGCAGGTTTCAGGTCACGTGGTGCAGGATTCCCTTCATCCAATCTTACAAGACGGGTCAGCGAAGCTCGTTTTTTTCTCCCCTTCAGACGGCTGTCTGACATCCCAACTTCTGACATTCCCCTGTCAGAAACCCCTGAGACGCATACATGGTCGTTTCTGCCTCCTTTACTTCGCATCCATTGTTTTCATTGGTATAATTACATTATGTGTATCATTGTATCATCATACTTTTGAACCATCATTTCGGTAGTCATTGCCGTCAGCACCTTGTTCCCTTGTCATTGTTTGCCCTTGTTGTTCCATAGTGAAACCAACGTCCTTTACCTTTCTTTCCTATACCCTGGCTGCTCGGTCACTGGCCGGGACAGGGTTCAGGCGCCGGCGCGCACCACCTAGGTCTCTCCCGGTGGCTGTCCAGCAAAGAACCTGGGCTGCTGGCTGCTGAAGGATCAACCCAGGAAATTGGGGTCGAAGAAAAAAATGGGGGTGCACCCGCAAAAATTAGGAATCAACCAGCCCAAAGGTTTTAGCAACAAATAAATATTTGGTTCTACCAGCGAAAATGGATGAGAATGAGAGTTGAACCAACAAAAAATGTGGTTTGACCAACAAAGATGTTGATTTCAGGCCAGAACTAGGGTTTAACAATTGATCCCTTCCCGCGATCCGCGAAAGAAAAACGAACACAATTTTGCATTTGATGGATACTATGATGATCAACGCGAATCTATCATGAAGCATTGTCAATGGCTGTCCATCCCCAATTTCGATTTGAACACCAATCCGCCGGCCTGCCGGCGTGTCTGATTGAGGGGTTGTTCTTGTTTCTGTTCTTGGCTTGTACTTGTTCCTTTGTTCTCTTGCTGCCCATTGTTGCTTCGTCTGAATCAAGTCCTGCTGCTGCCGCTGCTGCCGCTGCTGCTGCTACTGCTACTGCTGCTACTGCTACTGCTGCTACTGCTACTGCCACTGCTACTGCCACTGCTACTGCTACTACTACTGCTACTACTACTGCTGCTACTGCTACTACTACTACTACTACTGCTGCTGCTGCTACTGCTACTACTGCTACTGCTACTGCTACTCCTCCTACTGCAACTGCTGCTACTGCACGTACTGCTACTGCACGTACTGCTACTTCTACTGCTACTGCTGCTGCTGCTACTGCTGCTACTGCGACTCCTGCTACTGCTGCTACTGCTGCTTCTGCTGCTTCTGCTGCTACTACTACTGCTGCTACTACTGCTACTACTGCTACTGCTACTACTGCTACTGCTACTACTGCTGCTACTATTGCTACTGCTGCTACTGCTGCTACTGCTACTACTGCTCCTACTCCTCCTACTCCTCCTACTGCTACTGCTACTGCTACTGCTACTGCTACTACTGCTACTACTGCTACTACTGCTGCTACTGCTGCTACTGCTGCTACTGCTGCTACTGCTGCTACTGCTGCTACTGCGACTCCTGCTACTGCGACTCCTGCTACTGCTGCTACTGCTACTACTCCTACTCCTACTACTTCTACTACTACTACTACTTCTACTACTGCTACTACTACTACTACTTCTTCTTCTTCGACTTCGACTTCGACTTCGACTGCTACTGCTACTGCTACTCCTCCTACTGCAACTGCTGCTACTGCACGTACTGCTACTGCACGTACTGCTACTTCTACTGCTACTGCTGCTGCTGCTACTGCTGCTACTGCTGCTACTGCGACTCCTGCTACTGCTGCTACTGCTGCTTCTGCTGCTTCTGCTGCTACTACTACTGCTGCTACTACTGCTACTACTGCTACTGCTACTACTGCTACTGCTACTACTGCTGCTACTATTGCTACTGCTGCTACTGCTGCTACTGCTACTACTGCTCCTACTCCTCCTACTCCTCCTACTGCTACTGCTACTGCTACTACTGCTACTACTGCTACTACTGCTACTACTGCTACTACTGCTGCTACTGCTGCTACTGCTGCTACTGCTGCTACTGCTGCTACTGCGACTCCTGCTACTGCGACTCCTGCTACTGCTGCTACTGCTACTGCTACTACTCCTACTCCTACTACTTCTACTACTACTACTACTTCTACTACTGCTGCTACTACTACTACTACTACTACTACTACTACTTCGACTTCGACTTCGACTTCGACTGCTACTGCTACTGCTACTGCTACTGCTACTGCTACTGCTACTGCTACTACTACTACTACTGCTACTACTACTACTACTACAACTACAACTACACCTACTCCTATGCCGGCTCCTACTGCTACTCCTACGCCTACGCCTACACCGGCTCCTACTCCGTCTCCGACGCCTACTCCTACTCCTATTGCTACTCCTCTACTCCTTCCTCCCTTCTTCCCCAAGTACTAAACTGGTAGTGCCGGTAGCTGATGACACTGCCTAACATTATATACAGTCGTCTACAGGTGCTCCTCACAGAACGCACACGGTACAGTACTAAACTGATCGACCAGTACTCATTTGGTATGCAGTCGATAGGTTGTCCAAGCAGGCACTTGCTACTCAAGCTGCTTCTGATCTACGGCTCTGTCTTCGTCTCTTCGTTGTCCTCCTCTTCCTCCTCTTCTTCTTCTTCTTATTCTCTTCTCTTCGGCTTCTCTCTCAGGCTTCCACCTAGCGTGCACATCAACTTCCCTTGGGGCAATCTCTCTCCGCTTCCACCCTGTCTCCTTCCATGTGTCAAGCCAGAGGCTCGGCTCATACATAATACTTTGCTGGGGACGGTACTAATTTGGTATTCGATCAATAGGTTGTTACAGCCAGCACTTGCTACACAAGCCGCTTCCATTTTACGGCTTTGTCTTCGTCTTCCTTTCTTATTCTTCTTATTCTTCTTCTCCTTCTTTTCTCTTCTGCTTCTCTCGCGGGCTTCCACCTAGAGTGCACATCAAACTCCCTTGGGGCCACCTCGCTATGGCCGGCTGGCTTGCCGAAGGCAATTAAATAAAGGTACTTGCCAACTTAGACTGGCCACGTCTCAATAAGTGTTGGTTGTATCCCACATTTAGATCCCCACAAAAGCTATTATTGCTAATTATGGTAGGTTTCCATCAGGGACCTATCGTTAAACTCAACACTGTTGTCAGTGGCTCACTTGGAGAGTTTGATACTGAGAATGTGAATCCAATGGACCCCTGCTTGAACCATACAGTACCCGGCCCATACCCTGTCTCCATTCACCGTGCTGTCCAGCTGCGCCCAGTCAGGTCCTTCCTTTCTCTGGACACGCTGCGAGCACTGCGAACACGTCGCTGATCCCGCTCTCGAAAGAGCTCCGCGGTTTTGGCCGCCACCAGTTGACCTAAACATAGGCACAGTTGGGCGTGTCTGAAAATTTCACTATGGCCATCCTCCATTTTCAGACCCAGTTCATGGGGATGTATGTGGCCCCATGGAGTCCTTGAATTTTGCCGTAGCGCGACTGCATGCTGTGACTATGGAGGATGCCCAGGGCCCAGGGAGGAGGCTGACTTGTGAAGAGATGATGCTGACCGTACCGCAGCCACTTTATAACCAGTCATGTATTTCCAAAGAAGGGGAACACTGGGTTCAATGCCATCAACTTACATGTCCATCCATCTAAATATGTCATCATATGCCCAATTGCATGTTTCAAATCCATCCCAATCCCATTTTGGTAGACGTTTTTGGGCTGCTCTCCGATTCTTAGAGATCCCCATGGCATTTCCATCCAAATGACCATGGTAAAGACGTTGTTCCAGCTTCAACGCCTCCTGGAGTCGGCTTTTCCTCTTTGGATTTGTCTGAGAATAATTATGCCGGATACCCCTAGGTCCACTTGTCTACCAAAAGCACTCTGAGGAAATCTGAGGAATAAAATCCCTTCAACCAATCCAGTACCTGTCACACCGAAAGCCACCAATCAACTTGGTTCAGATTCATGATTCAATGGCAAAACAACAGTTGAACAAATCTTCAGCAAATTCAGTGAAAAATGGGTGAACCGAGAGGGCTCATCCCAGTGTCCTCCTCAGCCTGTTTCAGCTGTATCTTCTTGGCACGTTGCTGTGCTCGCCTAGCAACAAGGGCCAGGACATGGCTGTTGTATTTCTGTAGTTTACCAAGTTGAGTGGATCATGTTACCTTTGAAACAACACAAGCCCCCAAAGAAGCAGAAAGGGGTCATCTTCCGTACCGATCCTATTCTGTACCACTTTTGGGGCCTGGGACCCCAGAAATCCTCAGCTGGATGGGTCTCGATTTCATCCGTTCCCCATGGACCCATGGAAAAATGGCCACGGGTCTGTCTGAAAATACCCAAGAAAATTCTGATTCTTCATCATGTTCCCCATTAAAATCATTAAATTGATTTGTTTGGGGGTATATTGATGATATTGCCTAGTGACTAGTGGTTTATCTATCCCATTTCCCATTGCATCCCATGATATCCCCAATGTCTCCCATGTACCCTCCGAAAGTCAAACGTCGAAAAAAGGTGGATTTTCCGCTGCCATGTTTGATTGCTGGAGGGTATTTGAGGTGAAGGCCGGGTTAAACTCATGTCGATGTGGAAAACCTACGATTGGTAGATAATTTTCCTAGCATTTACTCCAAGGGCCCCTCTGGACCATCGCTGCACCTCACTGCGTCAGGACATGGCAATGGCATTTTTTCGGCACAGGCTTTGGCCTTGAGCCTCAGATTATGTCATTAAAAAAGGGTCGATTTCAGTGAATATTCATATTATTCTCCGGTAACTTAACATAGCTATGTAAAATGGCTCATGTGTAGATGACTTATGATGATTTGATTTGCCTATCAAACATGGTGATTCTCCATATGTATCTTAAATGAGTAGAGGGTGCAAAATTGAAGATTCCTGAAGAATCATTAATACTACATATCCATGCATATCCCAGATGAGTGTGTCTGAAATGGGGCATACCCCCAGTTCTGCTATCAAATAGATGGAACATGATGCCATTGAATGGACGGGGTTTTCATGAAATGTTCAGATATACCCAAACAGGATAATCATTTGTCAGTCAATTATGAAATGATTGAAATGTTATAAACCTCCATTATCCATTGCACATTATATCCACGTTGATCTGGGTTTGTCTTAAATTTGGCTACACCATTCCATCCGCTGGTTTATCATAATTTTCCCATTCAAAGTTCAATTTCGAAGGATACCCCATTTTCAGATACACCCTTAACACTTGTGGTTGGATAGTGTTGGTTGTAGTTATTTATATATATATATATATATTATTTACATATACCATCAATATACATCAATATACCATCAAAATCCCCATTCTATTTCCGTTATATTCCCATTCCATCCCTATTAAATCCCATTAAATCACCTTATACTCCCATTCCATCCCCATGAAATTCCCATGAGCAGTTGACTTCCCAAGGCACCGATCGCTCATGGCTTCCTGTCGTCTCACCTCTGCGGCCCACGGCCGCGGCGCGCGCTTCGGTGTCGGCGTGGTGGCCGTGGGGCGCCGGGAGGAGCGGCGTTGGGAGGCCGTGGGCAGCTGGGGGTCCTGAGAATTCAAGGCTCAGCACGTGAAAATCAGGAGAAAAATGGAGAAACATGGAGGGAAAATCGACCGAAACGTGGCAAATTGGATCAAATTGGGAACATTTGGAGATGACAAATTGAAGCTTGGAGCTGAGAAAAATGGAATGTGGACCAAGCCGTTTGGGAGTACGACCTCGTTTAGACGAAGACGAAATGGAGGAAAAGGAAAATAGACACTTGTTGGATGAATAATTACTCATTACTCATCCTGCCCCTAACTAGGAAGTGAATTGTTGGATGAGTTACGACAGTTACGAGTTGAGTCTTTAAAGGTTCATCAAACTCTGCACGTGCAGGACTCTTAACAGCCAGTTCCTTGGGGTCCAAATTGAAACCAAACCAACCTGCAGACTGCAACATTGGTAATTTTACCCATAGAAATTCAATCAATGTAATACTAAATCAAATCTGAGGATTTGACAACCCAAGAAGCAATGAGGTAAAATATGGTAAAATCAGGGGTTTGGTAAATGTCCTGATTGAACATCACAACTCTTGGGGGTGTAATCTCCAACAAATACTTGAAGGTGATGTTCCAAATCCCCAAAAAGGCACATTTACTACAGGATGGTGCCCCCCAGCTATAAGTTGGCTTATAAACCCCATTAACTATATAGTTATATCTACCATAAACCATAGTTAAGCCACTTATGAGGCAACTTAGCTATCTTGGGGCCCCCATCCTGTAACCCCTGTTAAATCACCCAATCTCCTTGACCCAGCCGTCTCCACCAAGGCTCTCGCAGCGGACTCGTGGACACCTCGCCCTGCTCCAAGGCCGCCGGCGAAGTATCGCAGAGACCGCGCGAGTTGAGCCAAGCGCGAGCACGTTGAACGGTCTCATCCTCCTCCTCCAAGTAGTTTTCGGGGGACCTGGGAAGCTGGTGATGTACTGTAGGTTTCATGAAATATGATTTTACAATATTCTAGCTGATTTTAGATATACATGGCCCAAACTGGTGGCACCCAGATCCTTTGAGATGGATGAGAAACAAATTGGCAAACATCTGCTGAGTCTGAGGTCAAAAAGGGGTACCCAGGCATTGGCATTGGCGGCACCTGCTGAATGGCTTTAACATCCCCACATTTTGCTTCTCTCATGGGCCTTGGCCCATTCCCAGATTCTGATGACTGATTACTTAAAATCTCAGTACTTACACCGGGGAGTATGTTGTTTGCTGAAACCCCATTTTTGATGATTAAATCCTAAGGTTGAGTTGATGCCTAAATCCCGATTTTTGCCCGTTAAATTCTGAATCTTTGATGGTTAAAAGTTAAATTCCAAGTTTTGATGGCTACAGCAAACGACATTTTTGCTGGCCAAGTTCCCAATTTTGATACTGAATTCCCCCCGTGGCATGCAATTTTCACCAGACTACCAACCGGTGGTATGCAAGATAACAAGGATTCCATTTGCAGCTGCTGAATGAAAACAGAAAAACTTCCTCCATCCTCAAAAGGCAATCAAAAGCCTGGCACCGTGGTCATCCAATAGCTGGTGAATGGATGTTTATGCCCCAAGTTTTGGTGATAATCTGTGATAATAGGTCTTGACTCCATCTCCAAATCCCATCCCCATCCCCAAAGTATGACCCAAGTGGCCACTCACGCCGCTGCAAAATCTCTTCACATCGACCCTGCCAGCCCGGTCCGCAGGCGCAGCCCAGGGCTTCCATCAGGTGCTGGTCCTTTGGCGAAATGGTCAACGATGGGTCTTGGTCCACCAAAACTTGGGAGCTCACCAATAAAAATGGGAAGTATATTATATATTAATCTAATTTAATACACATATATCACTGATATATATATATATTGCTTTATGATATGTAAGTTGCGAACTATATTGTATCTGTTGGATACATGGTGCAGTTGTTAGATTGGGTCACATAAACATCATAAACCAGCTTATAACATCTAACTGGTTTGTTGCGTGGGCCCAGATTTGAGCCCGAAAACTGCTGATACCTGCTGATACTGGCAATGACTTTGTCATGTGTTTTGAAATTGAGCCATAAAATCTGGGTGGTACTGTTTGATCTATATATGATGTATAATGATGTATGTATATCAAAATGAAAATGAACACTACATGCGTATTCCTTTTCTTGCGAGGAATATTGGAGAGGTTGAACTTTGACCAGTTGCGTACTTACGAATTCACTTTAGGGCACAAACTAGTGCAAGGTCAATTTCAACTTATAAGATCTTATAAGCTGCAACCCCTGTTTATATTCTTGTATGCTGGTGTAGGGAATTGGCGTTGTGATGTGGAGAAGTTTGCCTCTCTTCATAGAGAACCTGCCTTCCATATAACGTGTCGCATCATTACAAGGTCAACAGCGCATTCGATTTATTCAACATTACATCGCATCTCCCATGAGAGCACGTTCTAGCTCCCAGACTGGATATGTTTTATTGTCATCGTACAACTATTGGTTTGGTCTCATTGCAACATACACCAACTGGTATCCACATCCTAGTAAGCCCCCGTGTCCCTTCGGTATCTTCACCCATACTCAGCGCCAAAGGCAACTTCTTGGATCTGGAATCCCAATGCTCGGGGACCCTCTGAACCCTTTTTTAACGCATGTTGATTTGCCACTTAACTGACCATGATTACTCACCATTTATATACTAACCCGGATAAAGACCCAAATTCATCCAGTGCGTTGCGGACCGACACACAACTCAAAGAGCACCGTGCCGTCCCTAAAAGTAATCTTCTTTAACTAAATGCTTCTTTTCAAGCAAATCAAGCGCTCCTCACCAAGATTGACCGATGTCCAAAACTTTCAAGACTGCTTGGCAGGGTCAGTCGTTCCAGGCTCAGTTCAATCCGAGCCAAAGCTGGTGTCCACATGACAGCCCTGCTGGATCCCTGTTGGACATCGACCAGTTTGAATTTTCATCCTGTTTCCACGTGTTAGAAAGCAGACATGGGGATGGGTCAAGTCAATTCCTAGGAGTTTTAACATCAATTTGTGGATGAACATAATGATGGAAAACCATAAACCATAAACCATCCCCAGTAATACTATTAATACAGTACCATAAAATACAATAAACCGGTGGCAAATATCATCCTCAAATGGTCCCCTCTGGGCTCCTGGATGGTTGTGGTGTGATTCGCATCGCCGTACAGCGCATCGATGAATTGTCGGAGACCTGCCACCACCTGGCGAAGGGAGCCAGGTCGTGCTGGCAGGACCAATTCATCAGCTGCATTCCTATGCTGCTTGGTGGATTCGTTTTTGAACATATTTTCCAATCCTATTTATTTGGGACCGGGATGATGATGATGATGATGATGATGATGATGATGATAGTGAAAAGGTCATAGTGATTGGACAGGCCTGGAGGCGACAGTGGTTCTCGTCGCAAAATGCGCATGGAAAGAAACCATGGTTTCAACAGTTGGACACTTCGAGAATTGCATCTCCTGCTGACCCAAGAAAGAGCTTTGATACCCTATCATTGGTCGCCAAAAACAACATAACAACGAAGGTCTTAAGATGTAAACCCCGAAATCCACAGGCAATCTTGGCCAAGACAACATGTTTAGTTTCATCATACATCTTCACCATGTTTCCCATGTTATTCATGGGATCCTTTTGGTTCAGCGCCCTTGTCGGGTGTATGGGTCAGAATTATCAATTATATTCAATTATCACCTCCCAAAATGGATGGTTTCAGCTCCGGAGCTGACCCAGTTGGATCCTCCAAGTTAATGGAAAACTCACCCCCAAACACAAGGGTTTCCTCTAAAAAAACTTTCCAGCTGGACGTATGGCTCGAGATTGACCCGACAGAAAGAGATAGTGAGTGAATGTGAGTGATGGTTTCCTCCATCCTTCAAACAGACACCAACCCGAAATAGATGGTGAGTCCACTATATATGACACCATAGATGGTTTGTTTAATAAATTCTGGTTGGTGGTTTTAACCATCTTGAAAAATATGAAAGTTAATGGGAAGGATTATCCCATATATTATGGAAAAAAAAATGTTTGAAACCACCAGCCAGATTTGGTTCAAATTAGTTCAGTACACCCCAGGATATGCCACTAAATTATATATATATATATCACTATAATAATATGGTTGGATGATGTTGAATGGATCCCTATTTGTGGATGATAAATGGGTATGAGTCAAAACCCTGGTACCTAGTGAACCCCAAAATAGCTGGTAAATGGATGTTCATCCCACTAAAAATGTATCTATAGGTATTGACCCATACCCAAATTGTGTTTAATCCTATAAAACACACCACGCAATTTCCGGCGCTCGTTGGTACAGCCCCACCTTCACCGCGTCCGTCAGGGCGACCATGCGTCCCTGTGGCCGCTTGGAGAGCTCGCCCACGCAGCTGCGAAGAGATGACGAGGCCGGGTGATGTCGCAGACCAAGGAAGTCCAAGAGGTTGCCTGGGATTAAAACTAATACTATAGTCAATGTTTCAATATTCAATACCCTCTGGTAATTTAACGTAGCTATTGAAAATGGCCATTTATAGTGGATTTTCCCATTGAACATGGTGATTTTCCATAGTTATGTTAGTTTACCAGAGGGTATAGAATATATATATATATGTTAGTCAATGACATGTAATGACATAGTAATTGATGATACTAGTATAGTCTATAGATAAGTGACCTACGGCTAATTGATAACTAATTATAATGATTCATGATTTAGGACTACTAGTTTATGCTGACTAAGGACATTGGAATTATATCCAATATGGTAACTTGTGATTCATTTATTCTATTATTTATCACAGTCAGTAACTCAAAATTAATATCCGGATCACCCAATGCCATATACATCCATATACCTCCCATTTGGGGATGGTGAAAAACAACCCCATCTCTGGTGGCCCCATCGGCAGATCCTTGCGCGGCCCCCCTGCCGTTGTTTCTGTTGGGTACAGTTCAGCCAAGACTTCAATGTCAAATCCCAATTTGTCTTATGTTTAGATTCACATGATCTGTCTGATGCTTAAACCATGTTGAAGCCGCATTTTTGCGACTCAGATAACTCAGATCCCCATTTTTTCTGCTTCGACCCTATTTTTGCCAGTTACAACGGCATTTTTTGCTGATCCAACCCCCTTTTCACAGCCAGGCACTAGTCTCCACCATAATCAGCGTGGCAGCGCTGGGATCGCCCCCAGTTGCAGCGAAACGCAGCAGGCGCTGTTGTAAGGCCTGCATTCCTGGGAATTCAGGTGATGAACAATTGGCAGTTCACCGGTGAAAAACCCGTGAAAAACCGACAAAAACTAGGACATCATATGGGTTACAGCTAACAAAATTGAAAAATGTGAGCGAGTAATCCATGCTTGTCATTGGGGATCATCATCGGTCCCATCTCTCCATTTCTATGGTTGAGAATAAGGGATATTTGAAACCACCAACCTGTTTGGAAAAGGGCTGGTTAAAGATGGTTAAGGAATGTTAAGGATCAAAACTTCGGGTCATGGATGCTTCCATATATATATATATATATGGTTTTACATGATTGGATGAAATCCCTGCCGAGAAAAACTTGGTGGGATGTGGTTGGACTCAATTGATTTTTGGGACGATTACACCGGATATATTCTGGCCCAATCCCTAGCCCTTGCAGCTAACCAAAAGAAGGCATGGCAGAATCCCTTTTCAGGGGGTTCTCAATAGTGGCATGGGGTTGAAGCATGGTTGGGTGGGTGGGCCGTGGGCAAAAAAATGATTATATGCAAAGGCAAAAACATCCCAGACAAAGATGATATATATATATACACATACACATATATAATTGTATATATATATATAACATATACAATATACATACACACTATATAGCATTGGTATACAAGTAGTATAGCATAGATATAGAGTCAGGCTGCTGAGACTCTGCTGCAACTAAGCCCCAAATGTATCCAAATGTCAATTTCAGTGGCTGAGAACCGTGCTGCCTTTGGGTGGTCCAGATTGCAGATATGGCTTCATCATGTTTCATCCGGATTAGTTGTTGGACGTCCGCATTTTGCTTCCTTGCAAATCCACATGATGTGCATCCATCTGCTTTTTTTAATGGTTTAATTTGGTTTGATGATTTTCCAGCCAACGTGGTTTGTTCCAGAATAGGGTATCCATGGGTATCCCAAGATCCATTGCTTGATCACACCTTATCAACAAATTACCACTCAGCCGACTCAGCCCTTGGTCTCCAAGTGTCTTTCCTCAACGACATCCAATGGCAGTTCTGGCGCTTTCACCGAATCTAAGACCCTGCACCACACTGCAGCGCTGGCAGCGGCCTGGAAGTCATCAATGTGGATGTCGTGGTATAAACAAACAAGGGATCTAAACAGGAAGGACTCCTTCAGCAAGGAATCCATCTGTTGGTTGTATCACTCATGCCTGGAATAACTTTAACTATATTATATAAAATTTACCAGCTGATAAGGGAGTCAATGATCCCAATCTCCGCACCCTTGGCAGCCAAGAGCATGGGACTATGCTGATTTCGATCATCAGAAGCAGTCAGAAGCATAGAAAATCATAGACCATACCTTGGGATGTTCCATCATATATTCATCCATTAGCCCCCCACCGTTGCCAGCTGTTGAACATATTGGGTCACATTGGAATTTCAAATAGAAGTCCAGTATTGTCCAATATCATTTTAATCATCCCATATTATCCCATTTTTTCCAATATCATCCAATAATATTCAAAGTTATCCAATATTCAAAGATATTCAAAGATTCAATTACTATCAAATATTGTCAGTCATTATCAAATATATTGCCAAATGGCGTCCCACTGGGCCTCACAGGAGGAGAATGGTCTCTGGCAACTCGAGCTGTTGAAGAAAATGTCCTGTTCGGAGGGATCAAATCCACCTTCGATCTAGACGCTTCCGGTTGATTCAGATGAGGGGTTGGCACTGATATTTGGAGGTATTTCTATTTCAGGAATCCACCCATGCCTATTATCCTGGGTGAAAATGAGCTAATTGAATCTCTGGTATCCAGATCAAATTATTCAATTCAGGAGCTACTAGCGACGTAGCAAAATGCTTGTATAAGCGGAATAACCAGGCAGCATTCTGATGCATTCTGATTCTCTTGCTCCGACCGAGTTGGATTTACTGGGAAAGTCGCTCGGAAGTGGCAAATCCGCCATGTTCCGCTGGTTTTCCTTGCCTAATTACCCACTCCTACGTCCCGTTCACTTGAGCGGAGTATTGAATCAAAGGTCTCAATTGATCAGATGTATGTACATGGAAATGAGTGCGTACAACATCGTACAACCTATACTATACACATGCAAATGTACTTGTGAGACCGTAAGATTCACAATCTACATTCTGCATATAAATACTTACACGTACATGACTCTATACCACAGATCATCGATCCATCCTATACTCTTTCGATCTTTTTGGACTGCAAACCCAGAGGCCTCAACTGTCAACAGGAAACGCCCGGAGGTGATGTATTTACCTCAGATTTCGAGCTCCATTCTCGTCGAGCCAAAAGCTGGATCTGGATTGATGCTTTAGCCAACCTGAGGATGCCTCAAAATATGTCTCGACTCACACAGGCAAACAATGCAATCCTAATGATCCATAATGATCTTAGATGCACGAAACCCAACACCACACTTCAAGGAGAGCTAGTGGTTGCATTTTGAGCCAACAAGTGGAAGAGCGTCACATCCAAAAGGCTTGACCAATTGGAATCCACCAGAAGTTTCAAGGTGCCAAGAAACTCAGTTTGGGGAATTTCCCCAAGAGCTTTCGGGCTTGGACGATGTGATACCCGGCCACGGTTGCATGGGCTCTGTCTAACCTTGGTTGGTGAAGAAGCATGTGATGCAGCTGAAGATGGGAAACCTGATGCACATTCACAACAAGTGCAATAGTAATTATTAATTATTGACATTTTATTTACTATACTATAGCTCTTGTTGCAAACTAACTTCCACACGTCGGCATGATGTTTTTTCTGGTGCCACACAACCAGCCCTTTATGGCCAGCAGCAAGAAGATTTCATACAGCTCCTGGTTCCCCACAAACAACACGTCACAGGCACCGGTGCCATGGAGCCCATCGGGGCCATCGGGGAACATGGATGCCGGGCCCCATCAATTGCAAAGCTTTCAAGCTGTGGGCCCAAAACAGCTGGATATCCCAAACACCTTGGGCTTCAGATGATGTGGAACTAATCATCTTGCCAAAGATTATGTTCCGGCAACATTTGTATTGTTGGACACACCCAGTTGGACCCATGGGTATCTGAGGTATCATGGCTCATACTCATCTCCGATCCAAATCCGATTCTTAGGTATTTTCGCCTGGCATTCTCGCAGCTCTGAAATTTCCACTCGATCACCTGGGCATAACATCATGGAAATGAAACAAACCAATGGGCTCAAGGGGTGCGGGGTGAACTTCAATCAAGGACCAACGAAAATACATATGGCATAACCAATGACTGCAGAGATACTGTATGTATGGTTACATAATCATACATAATCATACATAATCATACATGTGTATATATATATAGTTATATATATATATATAATGTATATATATATGTCATTATAGACATAAATGAAACAGTAGGCCCATTTCCTTGACTAATTATTGGGTTTTCAGGCCTGCCGCATTCACTGCGCTTTGCACTTCTGCCTAGGCAGGAGTGGAGGATATAGCATGTGTGTGCCATCCCCTTTTTTTGGGGGGTAACCCGTGGATTTCATCACTGGTTGTATCCAGTTTTCCAAAATATCCCATAATAATGATGTTATATTCCACAAGCAGGCAAATACATTATATAAATACATCTTTTCAAGCCTGGAACACGTCGCATTTCCGCTTGCACATCCCAGCAACTTGGCACCCCAACCAGCTTTATAGAGAGATGTCGAGCGTTCTTCACCTGAATAGTTCGCCATGGTATACGGGTCTGTCTCAAAACATGGTACATCGCAAGTTGACTAGGGAAAGTGATGATATATTTAAAACTTCAGATGTGGGTAGTTTCCCTTCATTTCAGACAAACCCATATCCCCGAACAATTAATACAAGTATGTTGGTTCCCCATCGTATATTATATATATCCCCACATTATATCATATCCCATTGGTCAACTCTTAGGGGTTCCAACTCTTAGGAGTTCCATCCCTGTCGACCCTTCCTTGGTACGTCATCCCGCTTCGTTATTGAGTGTACCAGTAGTAGTAGTAAGTGGAGTAACCCTGCTTGCCCTTCTGGGCTTATAACCCACTTACTACTCTCCAGTAATCAAACATGGCTATCCAAAATCCCCCATTGAATTCGATGATTTTCCCACTCAAACCTCCTTTCATGTTTGATTGCCGAAGCGTAGCAAGTGGATTCTAAACCCATAACTAGGGCAAGTAGGATTAGTCCAGTTACAACTGGCGGGCTTGTAATTCACCAGCACGATTCGTGGGATTTCCCAGCACCAAGGCACCTTTTGTACAGTACCCCCGCCCTCTTCGCACCTCCAGCACAAAGGGTCGGCCAGGGCCCAGCATTCGCACGTCAATGTCCTTGGCGCAGGGACTATGATTCGGGTCTGAGAATGGGTCTACCCCTCAAGATTGTGCTGCTTTAATAGGGAAACCTGGCGATTAACCCTGATTTTCAGACGAACATTTTGGGATCTTTTGGGATACCTTATTTTCAGAAGCCAGTCGTAATATTATGGATGATTCTGGCACGAAAGACCATCAATTTTTGGTGGTTAACCTTCTGCGGCTGTACACATATATATGTAATATAAGCGTCCATGCACTACTACTATCAACCAACAAGAACCAATATCATTTTCAGCAACTCTATCATGATGGCAAAAAAAATAGAATTTTCAACAATTATGGAATATTAATCAAACATATTACATCATATTACATCATATTACCAAAAACATATGGAATTGTCGATGCCTCCTGTTGCTGCATGATACAACTCCACCCACCCAAAGCATGAAGATTCTCCTCTCTGCCCTCTGCATGAAAGCGAACCTGGTAGGCAACCACTGGCGCTGTGGCAACGGAAAGCACTGGCCTACTCTTCAAGTGGAGAACAGCTACTATACTCCAAAAATCTAAAAGTGGCAGCATGATCCAACGCACATGGTTCAAACTGTTCCAACATGTTCCAACCCTTCTTGTGGACATCTCCCATTACAGCACAGCCAAACCCATTGGATCAGCTGCACCTCAGATGCTCCAAAGTACTTCGCCACTGGCGTCGTGATGTCCTCCTGAAACGATCTGCAGTAGGAGACTTTGTGAAGATTTTGGATACAGCTATATACAGCTATATAATCACTACCCTGTTAAGATAGGGGGATGTACCCTGAATGCAAGCTACATTTTAGACGTACTTTCTAGGAGGGGGGCGTAAAAAATGCTAGCAGACATTTATTTTTCAAGGCACGTTCAAATTGCAATCTGCTTTTTGAGAAGGCCCCCTGGCTTTTTTCAAAAGACCTAAGGGGACGTCTAAAATGAAAGCTACATTTTAGGAAAATATGTAAGAATGTAAAAAAAAATGTAAAATAATAGTCTATATAAAGGTCTGCAAATAGCTTCAGAATTGCAGAAAATCAAAAATGTAAACTAAAAGTTTGTAGGACCCCAAATTGCAAGGTATTCCACATACATTCTACACTTTTTTGATCATTTCAACATGTAACATAGAGGTATGGCAGGTATATTATTCCTTGCAGATTACGGGAAAATCCTTGAACCTCAAAAAAAAACAAAATGATATGTTGAAGGTCTTCAATTTTACCTCCCACCTTTGTGAAAACAATGGAATACAAGTATATGTGTCTATATTATGCAATAATGATATTCTATATACAGCTATTCTAAATTATTCATCACTATTCTATGATATTCAATATTATTCAATAATGATGTCTGGTCATCCTCCATAGCATGCTTGGCCAATCTGATTTCTGGTCAAGGCATTCAGGGACTCAGGGTTTCCATAGCGGTGGGACACCACACCTGGGTGTCCAAGCTCTTTACTCATTGGCAGCCTGTCAAAAACACGTTTCAATAGTATGAACAAAATGTCGAAATGCTCTCAGAATCTTTGTTGCCTCCAATCACAGATTCATATTCAGCCGGCTTATGTGTTTAAAATTGGCTGTTTCAATATCAGTATGTATCAGTATGTTTCAAAATGATGGACCTCCGGAAAAATGGTCTCATGGTCTCAGTTTCAGATCCCAAAATAACCAGTCATTTGTGGGTCCATTACCCCATTTTTGCCACAGCCCCATTGGTACAGCGCCTTCGGCGCTGCTCCTCCACCGAGCCATCTCCTTTCCGCTCCCCTTCGATGACCCAAGGTGATTGTGGCAATCTGCGCAGCGCACCGAACCACTGATCTTAATCGAAGGAAGTTTTCAAAAGGGGGGGTACCCCCAAATCATCCAAGTCATAAGACCATTTTAGTATTGAAATCAATGGTGACTTGGGGGTACTTGTTGGTAAATCCTAGGAATTAATCCATCCATTTCTGGGCTTTCCACTTTTGAGCAAGTCTCATTCTGTGACATGATGGGGGTCAAATGTGTTGAACTAGTCCCATATGGATCAAATAGACCCCAAAATGTTGGTTTCTTTAAACACGAAAGACGGGTAAAGATGCTGCACATAGTGACATCAGGTAAACCAGGCAAAACCAATCGAGTTCCTCATAAAACCCGGATGCCTTGCAACAAACTCTCAAAAAAGTAATAAAATCAATGTCGGTCAAAATATGTGCATAAATATGAATTTGTCTGAAAATACTGTCCCCCGAAAACCATTGGTGTGTCATCATGTTCCCTTTTGAATGGCAATACTCTAATTGGAGATATTCCCCATTTTCGAACACGCCCTAAAGATGTGTGGTTGGTTGCAGTAATGATGGTTATATATATATAGTTATATATCCCATTATATCACATCCTCAGTTTCTGCGGAGCCACACCTCCGTGAGAGCTTCAAATATCTGCCACGAATGAAGAAACCCTCCTGGAACGGCATTGCATCGTGCACGTTGATTGCTGTTTGGAATGTGGAAGCTGGATATATGATATGGAGTTCTCTCAAAATGTGGGATGCCCCGAGAATTGCCATTTAAAACAAGACATGATGATGAACTCGGAGAGTGGCTTCCAAATTGTGAGACCCCAGAAGGATGGTCAAAACTTGGCACTCATAGCAGTATGGCCAACTTCATGTCATGGAGGGAAGCAACCAATGGGGATATAGTTCTAAGTTGTGAGCAGGATGAACACAAACATTTATCTATATCATATTGATACGTGAATATCTATCTGTGTGTCTATGTAGAATTGTGTATATATGCATACATTTATGTGTTCGTATCTACATATATGTCTGTATATGTCTAAATATATACATATGCAAAAAAGTGTTAGACGAAGCAGGGTGCCAGTAGTAAGGCTGTTACTAGTCACACTGGAAGCACTCCTGGTAGTACTGATCCTGGCGTCGGTCCTTGCCCTTTATCCATAACCCCGCATTTTGATTTGTATTCACCTGCATATATATATATAGAATAATATATATATATATACACATACAATAGAATAGACCTATATATATATATGATATATATAAATGATATATATATATATATATATACGGTAACTACATTTCTATACATTTCTTTTAAATATACGAACAGGTATTTTAGACTACCTCCGGGAAGGTTTTCCTTGGCCCGCCCTGCCATTTAAACATACGGAATCCAATTCATTTAAACATACGGAAACTACATGTAAATATACGAACTGGTATTTCATACTACCTCCGGGGCCTCGCGGTCTGGCCCGCCCTCCCCATATTTAAATGCCGTTACCATAATGTATATACAATTATATACAACAACCGGTAGACATAATAATCATAGTAAATCATAGTAATATATGTACCCCGCATCAGCTGATCCCACTCACTGAGTTTCTCGGCACGGCAGATCTGCAGCCGAAGGGTGGCCGACGTACTTGGACGTTGAAGGCCTGCGAACGGATCTTGGGGATGGGGATCTGGTGGCTGAAACCATACACCATGTGGGCAAGCCAATCATAAACCAACCATGACTGCGGATGGTGTCTACTACCCATTGATGGTAATTTTGGGTTGTTTTATTATATATTGGGTTTACCATGGTTTACCACATTATGTATTGAATGAAATGTTAAGGAACACCATCGGAGATCTAAACTTTGAAAATCATGGGATTGATGTGGATATTAGCATCAACAACAGGGATTCAATTAGGGTTTAACGGGATTTAAGTGGATTTAAGCATCAAGCATGGGGTGAATTTCACCAACCATGATACGGGGATATGATGGAGATGTAAGTGGGATACTGTTACCAGCCTTTAAAAACCAGCCACTTTAAACCCTTTGAGGATATGAAACTTGTGGATGGTATCTAGAGCTTGGAAAATGATGGTTTCAACCATGTTTCATTAGGAGTATTTACGGGAAAATTGAAAAGGAAAGCCCTGGTTTTCCCATCAAAAATGAGGGGTCCCTGAAAATTTCCCTTCAAACCAATCCAATGAATTTACTGTAAATAGTGGGGATGCGATGAAGATAAAAACAAACCATAATGCCAATATAACCAACAAAATGGTGAGTGGACAGGGATGGTACATGGTAAACCTGCAATTGGAACATATTCATACAAATTGGTCTGAGCCATGTGAACGCCCGTGAAATAATCAGAATATAAGCAACTAAGATGCGAATGTTAGCCAACAATCCAACCTGTTTGGTGGTTGAACTCCCACAAAAATGCAACATATCAGTCAGAGGAGAATATGAGTCAATCGGGATGATGGTGATGATGGTGATGATGGTGATGATGATGATGATGATGGTGGTGGTGGTGGTGATGATGATGATGATCATCATGATGATGATGATGATGGTGGTGGTGGTGGGGTGGTGGTGGTGGTGATGATGATGATGATGACCATCACCATCACCATCACCATCACCATCAACGTCATCGTCATCGTCATCGTCACCGTCAGCATCAGCGTCATCGTCATCGTCACCGTCACCGTCAGCGTCATCGTCATCGTCATGGTCATGGTCATCCTCATCATCCTCATCATCCACATCATCCTCATCCTCATCATCCTCATCATCATCATCATCCTCATCATCCTCCTCATCATCATCATCATCATAATCATCATCCTGGTCCCAAATAAACAGGATTGGAAAATATGTTCAAAACGAAACCACCAAGCAGCATAGCAATGGTTGTGGACAATTACAAGTGAAACAAGGTGTGTTAACACCAGCGGCCCTTCCAGAAAGGTCTGTGCTTCTTACTCCCCCAGCTTGGAGGTCTACCAGGTGAGTGCGATTCCCGGTGCCTTCGCTCAAATCTCCAAGGCCCAACTTTGTTTTGAGCTCGTCTTTGCTAAGACCACTCAACGCCTCCAGGGCGGCACCTCCTTGAGGTCATCTGCCCTGATTGGTTGGCTTCATTAATGGTGAAGATGATCATTAATGATCATAGTTGGCTTCATTAATGGTTGCATATGTTCTGATGAAACCCCGAAAATCATGATATAAATGATCCGGAATGTTGATATACATGATACATGATACAGAAATAATCATAGTAAATTTCTGGTATTGTGATCCAACCCCTGAAACATGTAGAGGCCGAAGCTGTGTCAAATTGCCAACGAGATTAATGAAACACTCTGGAAGACGCATTTACCTTTTGAAAGTGAAGGTTCAAACCTGGGCTGGTTTTTGAGATAGAACTTACTAAAAACTTTTAATGGTATATCCAGATAACTTTAATGGGCATTTTCCTTAAAATAATAAACATTAATAAACCATGATAAACTGATGGCATCCAGCTCCCAGCCTTGGTCGCAGCTGATGCGGTCAAAGTGGCTGGTGGCTCCTGCTGGGCCATTTTTTAATGTACCAAATCAAACATGAGGTGATCCATATGATAGGAATGCATACATGATCTATAGATGAATATAAGATTCTTAGTTAACATGCCTAGATGCAGTCAGTGAGCAGTGGCTGTGTAGAAAATCACTTGACTTGAATGTACTATATCTCGGCACAATCTTTGGTAACAGGGCAATTATCCCGCATACTTCCACTAAGTCACTAAGATGCGGATGTGTTCCAACAATTACAGGACACAGGTTTTGAATGCTTTTGAACCTACCGCCCATTCAATTCTGTTAAATCCCCAGTGTTCTTGTGTAATAAAAGATGTCGTGTGTTGTTGCCAAATTATCCAAATTCTTATCTCTCATAGATTCTAAGTAATTATGCGTTAAATCCCCAGTGTTCTTACTTAACAAAAGATGTGCTGTGTTTATGCCAAATTCATATTTCTAACAGATTCTAATGGGCACTCTAGGCACCGCCAAAGGTTTGGGGGTGCCGTTTGTGTTGGTCCCATGAGCGCTGCCTCGCGTCGCCGCTTTTTGGATGGCCGGCTTGTGCCGCTCCTGACATGAGCACCCTGCAGCGTTGCAGCTAGGGATTTCAAGCGGTATGCTGCCACAAATTCATGTTGGATTTTCATGGGATTTTCCAAAACCCAAATGCCCAAATGATTAAATTTGCTAGTACCACCAAAGATCAAACCAAACATGATTAATTGCTGAATTAACCGGTGGTATATAACATAAGATTAAATTGTATGTGTATATATATATATATTATATATATATGATGTCCAATAATGGTAGCAAAAGTTCAGCCTTCAAAAAATACCACAACCATTGGTTAGCCTTGCCTAAATAGGCAATTTCATGATGGACAGTGCTCAATGTTGTAGGTACTGACAACATGAAGAAAAATGATGAGAAACGGGAATGCAAATTCATCAAACATGCTCAATTGCATCATCGTACTATAAAATATCTCCCTCCAAGGCATGTACATAAAATGGTGGTACTCCCACATCATCCATTTTGATGGGATTGTCCATTATAAACAATCCATTTTGGGGTACCCCCATTTTAGGAAACCTCCATATATTAATACATCAGGCAGCTCTCTTCAACATCTCGGGCATTCGTTGTTCGTTTCAAACATCTGCGCCTGGGAGTTTGCAAAGACCTGGGTCCCAGGAATGCCACTGGGATGCTCTTCCCAAGGCAGGAACATGAAACAAATGAAAAAATCATACACATGTGAATATGTCTACGTTGTATATCTATGGAACAAATGACATAGATATTAGATGTATATAGTCATAGCTAAAATATATATATATATGTAATTATATATAATATATAAAGATTATATTTTGTGAAACCATCAACTATATCAGGTAGATCCCAAGCTTTCACCCTGAGGGCCTGGGGCCGGGGAAAGGCGACATTGCTTTCCTGAAAGCACTAAAAGGCCTCCCGAAAGAAAGTGAATATGGGTCTAAATGTCTAAATCATAATTGCCTGAAACTGGATGTTTTCAGATCTGGGGTTGTCCCGCAATTTTCATGTGTGGGTCCGTTGGTGTCCTAATGACTCGCCTACCCTGCTGCCATGCCGCCAAGTTGCTGCAAAATCTCGGTTCCGCTGCCAGAGTAGTCACCTTGCTGAAACCGCGAGGCTGGCCATTCCCATAAGCGAGCTTTGATTTCAGTTTCGGTTCTCAAATTCCAATGTTTCACAAGGGGCTGAAATTTAGATCAAAAACACCTTCGGTTTAGATTCAAATCAAATTGAATCAGGCGCTGGTAACGTCACGTGCCTGTGGCATGGATGGTGAAAACGTCAGCTTTCAGGGGCTCCTGGGGCTGTTCACACCAGGCCACGGAGAGTTTCTCAGTGATGTTAAATAACGTTAAATAGCCATGGAATTTCCATGAATGTCCGATATTATTCCGATATTATTCATTCAAAATCATTCAAAGTGGAGATGGTTGATCAGATTTTCTTTGCAAGTGAATGCAGCACACAGATGGTTCGTATCCGGAGCTGGTCCTTTGCCTGAACGAAACCCCTTGAACCTGCCGGGAAGTCAGGGGCCACTTCGAAGAGGTCAGGCTGGATCTGGATGGTCCCCTATTTGGAGGTCACTTTCACCACACCAAGGATCGCGCCTAGTTCCTCTTGAGCGAGCCACTGCAACAAGTCCTGCCAACATATGAAAGGACAGCAAAAGGTAACGCAGCCAACTGCAGGAAATTTATATGCCCATTCCTTTACAGTAAACCAATGAGCAAAGCCAGGGTTATGTTTCCAAAGTATAGTCCAATATGATGGAACATCATCAAATACTGCATCATCTGCATATATTTACTTCTATACACTGACAGAGAGAGAGAGAGGTATATGCATACATTACGTTGTGTTACAGTGTTACATTACACTACTTTAAACTACACTGCATTCCATAAATTATATACATTAAATGATGTTCCATTCAATTGCATTACATTTCGTTACATCACATTACACACATATCTGGCATCATCGAAAATCGCACCAGTTGTGTCACCAAGATGACCACCATCCTTCAACTCGACCACAGTCGCCTCATGGGCAACGGCAGTCTACTTGAACTGTGCTACAAGTGGATGTCTGCTGGTGGTGCCAGATTGATCCAGTTTCTATCAGTTCCAATGTTATTCTAGTGATTCATAAATCAAAGACCATATGATATAGGCTATGTATATATATATATAAATATAAACACCATATGAATATACCACTGTGTGATTCAATGACCACATTTGAAAAGGGCAAGTTCGAAGTCAATCTCTAGGCTATATAGGGCGTAAAAAACGGCATCAGTCCCTGAACTCGACAAACAGCTCCACACATTTTCATGCATAATTCATATGTATATAACATATGTATAATATATATATATATTTTATGTATACAAATGTATACAATACATATATATATATATATTTATTTATAGTGTGTGTATATTGGGTACGTATAAATCGTGTATCGTGTAGGTATGTATCTATATATATGTATGTGTAACTATATATCGCATGTATGTATCACCTGAGAATTTCCTTTGAAATTGGCTTGATTGGTCCATAACTCTCCACCATTCTCTCGAAACCTCCCACATCTAGTCTCCAGCTCGCACCTCCTCTTCAGCCAGTGCAAGGAGAATCTGCCTGAAATTCAGCAGCGGCGGCCCACACACGGTTTATGGTAACGAGCCATGTGGATCCGTATGGCTACTGCATACATTGCCATGAATCAAAACACTGGAACATCTGGTACTCCGGTGAATATCCCAAAAAGATCAAAAAGTGCTCGCGCGTGCGTAAACGCTTTGTTGGGATGTGTATCCTTTGAGGATGATTGAGTTGGAAGAAAGCTCTCTGACATGATCTTGATCCATCCATCATCCCCTGGTAAGGTTCCACTATAGTGATCTATAGTGGATGTGCCCCCGCAAAAAAAACATGTCTTATCCAAAAATGGAGGATACCATGGGATATCCCAAAATGATCCAAAATGGTCATTCTAACGGGGACGATGGTGTGATACATTAAATAACCTATCATTATTCACCACTACCATGGGATTGGTGCAACTTTCACCACTACCATGGGATCTTCCGGTCGAGTTTCAGACAAACCGATGGTACCATTCTCTCCGCTGCATAAACGATACAGACCTCGCCGAGTAACTCTCGCAGCACTCCCACCACTGGCAGATCGATACTCAACCTCAGGGATCACCGGGAAGCCTTTTGTCTAACATGGCAACCAGAAATTCTTGTAGACATCTTAACAATCTTAACATGTATTTTCACTGTATTTCATATAATTACAATTTCCATCTTTACATTGGGGTATCACATGGTATCCCATTGCCAACATCAGAGTTGCATAACTATGCATGCATTAGATTCCCTTTCGGAATGCCTGAATCAAGTATGTAGTACAACGTACTGCAACCAACAAGGCCAACAATACCTGGTAAATTCAATGGCTGTTCCAACCATCAATCAACAGCTTGGAACCACAAAAAGGACCTACATGCCTCTCTCGCCCAATCCAGCTTACTGGGAGCTTCTACAGATACTCACCTTCCAGTTTGGGTTCCTGCCGCTCATCGTCCATGAAAATTGGATCAATATTTAGGTCCAATGTCCACACCGACCATCGTCCAAATGTGTTGTCTGGTAGAGTCTAAAGCCAGGCCAAATATGGTTCTGTCACGTTCTGTCACTGCTTGTGGCAGGTTCTGCCATCTCCTGATCTTGGAAAAGTTAGCAACCCTCGATTCGCAGATCAAGCTCGCCCCAGCCTCCGACAGAAGTGCTCGAAGGGGCTCCTGTCGAGGAGAGAATTAGAGAAACCAACTAACAGTGTAGCAGTCCATATTAATGTTGATCAAACCATATTAAACCATCCAATGTTAAACCCATCATGTTTGTTGGTTTAACACATATTTTGGTCCAACAGCGGAACCATGTTTGACCTTGGCACATTTGATACAAAAAGTGATCCGGAACCATGCTCGCCAGCCTAAATTGCGTTGCACCAGATCAAAGGTATTCTGTGCATTTCAAAACGTGCTTTATTCAACTTGATGTACCTGGTACCTTGCATGTCCAGCAAACAACCCTGGGACCCGGGGTTCTAGTTTTTGGGGATCATGATCTGACAGCAAGCGGCTCCATAGCCCTGATCGCAAACCCACATCCTTCGTCTTGGTGATGGTGACTGATAGTCTGCTGTGGTTTTGTGAAGGCAACCCAAGATCTTCTGGTTTATTCATGTATCCAAAACACACTGATTTTGGGCAAAACCAAACATCACCTTTATTGGTTGTAAATCCCAATAAAGTCCCAATTAAATCCAAACGTTCATCCCATTTTGTTGGTAAATCCAAATATGTTTCTTGGTAAATCCCATGAAATCCCATTTTTCAATGAGTACATCCCCGAAAAATACGTGGTCCTGCCAGGCACGCAGCAGTCCCAGGCATAAACCGCAGGATTCGTTGGCATTTTCGTCGCCTGCCATGGTTTCGGATGGTTTCGGATCCATAGAAGTAAAATGTGTCGTGTAGCTGGGAATCTATGGGATGTTCATGAAAGTTCATGAAATCTGAAAACCAATGTCTGATTTTCGTGTTTTTTTTGGAACAAATGTTAAATTGGTCATCATGAACATCATGAACATTCATCCAACCATCCAGGACATCAAACAGTGTCAAAGTGCCAACCTCTGGGAAATCCATGTTTGAATCAAGCAGAAAACACCAACCAATATATGTAACTGGAGGAACTTCAACCTCAAAGCCCGGTGAGTCTTGGGTGGAGTCATTTCATCCTTGCCCATTGCATCGCTTTCCCACCACTCAAGGATGCCTGAGGAACCCAGAACCTGTTGGTATGACCTGTTTGTGGCAGCGAACGATCGTGGACTTGCAAGCAACGATTCAGCATGTTGCGATGTATTTCTACATCAAGAACAGCCAAAGACAAAGAAACTGACGATTGAAATCAAGGAGGCATGTCAGTGCGGAACCAACAGAGCTACATGTATACGCCATTTAAAAAAGGAAATAATGCTTGGCATGTATTGAAATAGGTGCCCTCAAGAATCATTACTACATACTATTACATATACATATGCCCCACTGCCACATTAGATTCATTACAGTAGTCGAGTCGCTTCGCGACGAGAACCGCCCGCACCCAGAGAATCGGATAGAGAGGAAGCGGTACCAGTCTGACAGATCTGTCCGGTCGCACACGCCTCGGCACCTTCGGTGCGGGCGGATTTGTTGTTAGCTGTTCGCCATACATTTTTTTCTTTGGTTACTTCTCTTTATTCAGTCGTCCACCGTGCTTGCCAAGCTGGTAAAAGAATTCAGATGCCAGGTTTGCAATGTTCGGATGCGATCTGGCGGGGACCTTGAAATCACATTTGAGGGTGGAAGCTGGCAAGTCGGGTGCAATCCGAAACTTCTGATCAAGAGTGTCTGTAGAAAGGATGGCCTGCCAAATCACTGAAGATGGACTCGCGTGCTCATCGGATTACGGGATAGTGATGACACTGGCCGCTGGCTCAACAACTGGGTCGTCAGAGCCACTGGATGCATGTCCCTGTCGCAAAGACATGAGAGCTACCTGTCGAATCCAAGCCGCAAAGGGGTCTTCAGCAATCTTCAACTCCTTGACGTTTCATGGGCACTATCAAGAAATTGTCGGGTCGTATGCATGTCTGCTGATGTGAAGAAAACTCCCTCAGGTCCTTTGTCTGCTGGAGACCATCCTTGCGCAATCTTCGTGCATAAAATTCTTGCAGTACTTGGTCAGGTGTCAGCTTTGTGTTCTGTATGGTATTGAAAACATACATGAGTGGCAGAAACGCATGCAAAAGTAAGATGCTATTCCCCTGGCCCAACCGGGCATGTTGGAAGTCGTCATCGACAAACACCCAATCAATGACTCCTGTAGCAACCCTACTTCTGTTGGATGAAAGAAACGTCCCCGACAAATCATGTCATGCTGTTTCAGGAAGAAACCAAGGTATGCATGCTCATCAAGAATCTAGATGTGAGGCCACCAGAAGGTGTTGACTACTAGGCTACCATACTTGCTATGAATGTTGGGAGTCTTTGGCTGAGACAGTACGATCTGGATTGCAAGACTGCACTTGGGGTCTTTGTATGAGCCGCTTTGTTACGTTGGCTTTGCTTGGATTGGATGCTGCGGGTTTCTGCAGTGATGGCCGATCGTGCCAATACCTGCATGTCCCATGGGAATATGAAAGGCTGATGGTTGATCTGCCTATCAGTTGCAAGAGTCCAGGAAACAAATGGAAGCACCTATACATATACCTATCAGTTGGCATGACGCTGCCAAAGCTAGCCATCGTGGGTTTCGGGCCTCCACTGTCTTCTGCCACATGTTTCGGTATCCAATCCGACGCAATGTTTTTTCAATAATTGCGCGCATGAGCTGACAACCCAGACGGCAATATATACACAAATATATGTATAAATATATATGTATAGACTTTGTATACCGAGGCTGTGACGCCACCTCCTGGCATCCTCGCAGCCGCAAGGCCTTGGTAGAACTGCAACGATACCCATCAGATATTCATAACATGCCATAAAATCAGGATAGATCTCCACAAAAAATAACGAAAAATGCCACAAAAAACACAGGGTTGGACAAAATGGTTTGGGTTTCGAACTTCGACAATTGGAGCATCATTGGGAACCGACAAAATTGGGAATGTTTGCCAAGAATCCATACACCCCCTGAAATAGATTGGTCAATGGGAGTCACTATTATTTGACTCTCCAGTAGTCTAACCTGACGTAACCTGGCTAGCTGGTACAAAATAAAAATGCGTCACTAACTCGTCACTGTAAAACAATGTTGATATCACTTGAATGGGAATCAGAACAAACATCAACTGTGGGGTGATAGCTAACTTGATGCTTGGAAAGAAACTCATCAACAGCAGTAGAATAACAAACACATATCTTATACTGGACTCACGTTGTTGTTTGGCTGCGGCTCAGAATGACGAAAAAAAACACCAGGCTCACAAAATGTGGATACCAGTCAATCATCCTGAGTGAACCAATGTTTGTGTGTGCGTCCGCATAGAAGCAATTCCCCCTCTCCATTTGCTTCAAACCCAAAAATAAGGATAACAAAAACATACAAAAACTTGGGGCATGCAGCCATCTTGCCCTATCAAGCTACGAGTACCTTGGCATATTTTGCCAGGATATAAATGATCACAAAGAAGCTAAGTATGTGCATATGTAGGTAGCAAAATGGTTAAAAAAATATGATGGCATAGATGTCTTGGGGATTCATTAACACATATTAACATCAATTTTCCAACGCCAAATGCTGTAACATCTGCGTGCCATCTCCAACTCTAGGCCACGGACGCACACAGCACAACAATGTTGTGAGGCCACAAGGGCTTGCAATGCCATGGCCCCGAGCAGCTTCTAGGAAATGGACTTGTGACTTGTGCAATCCCCGAGCTTACAAAACCTGGCTGATCAATGGTAGGGTTCTCCCTCGAAAGGTATATAATTTAGATTAATTTAGTCTGTTGTTTACCTGGTAGCTCCAAATAAAAAAAAACATATCAAAGCAAACAGGTCCACAGGGTTGAGATTGCTGATATATTTTGCCAATGCAGGCAATGCCCTGCGTTTTATCCGCATTGCATCGACGGCCTGCGAACCAGATTGTTTCCATCTCTGGAAATTTGTTCAATTTCCTCAAAGGGCTACCCTGATTACAGTACGCCAACAGAGATGCATGCAGGTTCGTTTAAAACGTGTGTGTATGTGTGTTCTCTAGCCTTCGCAGGAAACGTGGTTCAAAACAATCGCATCTGCTTGGCCCTTCAGCAAAATCAAGGGGAAACCGAAGCTGCTAGGCTTTTCTGCTGAAATCGACCAGCTACAATTGGATGACTTGTGGGTCCTCAAGTAAGTTTCAGAAACATGCGGGGATGGGATTTGTTGCAGCTACTTTCCATTTCTTGGGGTTTTGAAGAGTCTTGAATGATCACGGCATGTCGAGCAATCTTTTTCGTGCAGAACATGCACAGTGCACACATTCCCCACCAAGGCTAAAGCAAATGCCTCATCGACAACAATGGCCAGCTACAATACCCCCGAGGCAATATTATAGCAATATTATGCAATGGCCAACAACGCCTTTACTTACGAGTCATAATGGTTCATGTGGATCATATTCGTGTCGAATAGTGGGGATTTGCCGGAGGTACAACCATTACAATGCGATTTGCATCCACACGCTGCAGAACACCAAGGGAGAACCGATTACGATCGAAACGATCCAAACCGCACCCGCCTCACACACGAGGTACCTTTCATCGCCGGCTGCAGCCACTTTAGACGGAAAAACACAAGGTTTCGTGCTCCGGCTTCCTCCCCAAAACAAACCCCATGCAACAGCCATGTCACCACTTCCCTTAGTCACCACTTCCCTCTGATGTAAGGTCTCACACCCCCCTTCGTGTTGTTATGTGATGTAAGGTCTCACACCACCCTCCATGATGTATTGTTATGTGTAAATTCTCACACCACCCTTCATGATTTATTGTTATGTGAGTTATGTGATGTAAAGTCTCACACCACCCTTCATGATGTATTGTTATGTGATGTAAAGTCTCACACCACCCTTCAATGTGATGTATTATGTGATGTACTGTTCTGTGATGTAAAGTCTCACACCACCCTTCATCAGATGTAAAGTCTCACAATTCTATTTATCCGTAACTCGGAAGATTGCTTCCCAACTTCCTTTGATAACTGGAGGGATGAACATCCGTTCGCCAACCATTTTGCAAAAACAGGGTACCAGGATTTTGGCTCATCATGAAGACTCACCTGGCTTCCCCAAACACCCTGTCCCTGGGCTCAGTTTTTTGGCGCTGGTCGACATTCGCCGTCTGGCGCTCATCCGCTGTCTGGACTAGATTCAGCCAGTAGTGGTTCAGATAACCTGCGCAGGATGTGGCGTCAAGAATGAGGACGGGATCAATGAACTGGGTAAGAAACAAAAGAGGATAGAGAGGCTATATGATGCTAGATGGCTACGGGTCAAACTCCTGCTACCCTGTTTGCCATAGGTTGCGACCCAAGGCCCAATCAACGACAAAATTGGGTGTACAAACAACAATAAGTTGGTTTCGCAGGACACGATTGACCTAGTCTCCAAACAAGTTTAATATATAGCAAATGCAAGCCTCAAAAACAGAGAAAATAGCAAAGTCCTCCTAAATGAAAGCCAGCAAGGGAAATGACCACGACCATTTTTGTCCCCTACTTCCTTAGCTATCAAAATTGTGCCTTTGCTGATCATATTCCAATTTTCAGGTCTTTCAACCCACCTCTTTGGAACATTCATAGCACAATGTTCTTCGCAAGGGGCATTTTCCCCAAAAAAACAACCATTGGGAGGTCAAAACGGTGCTGTGCGGCGCGCCGTCATTGGGGCCTTTCAGGCGAGTCAACTTCAGGATGCACCTGGGAAACCATCCAGAACCCCAAGTCGCCATTTTTATGGCTGGGATGTCAACCATCCCCAAATAATGGCAGATTTATTTTCATTAATCATGCATAGATATGGGATACAAAGATGATTGAAACCAATTCAATATCAAAACCATGGAGATTCTCGAGACGAACACCATCATTGTATCAGGGTTTGTCTGACACTAGAGGGTACCTAGTACACCCAAATCCATTGATCAATCATCATTGTCACGATTTTAAATAATGCCATAGGTTTTTTGTAAATTTTCAGGGGATGTGATGTCATGGTGCGTCCGAACATGGTGATTAATTGGGAGATACAATGGAGATTAAACCAAGCATTATGGTGATAATTATTCAACCAACAATATGAATTAATATGGTATGGTTCTGTCCATAAATGATGGATTTAATCAACAAGAACAGGGATTCAACCAACCGACCATCCCAACGGAACATCATGGGGACATAATGGGGACATATCAGCAACAAATTTATGATGTGGATTTGTCCAGAAATGGGGCCGCAAAATGGCAATCATCTAATGGGGACAACTATGCCAAACTATATGGATTATGGGGATACCCCATTTTCAGACAGACCAATAGTTGTGGGAAAATCCATGGGAAAATCATCCCCTGGTCGCCCAACAATTTTGCTACTGAAATTCATTGAATTTTGTAGCTCAGGAATGCGTCTCAACTGCCTCAAATCTTCTGTCTGAAACAATGGTCACTGGATTCCAGTTGAAATGGTGTCCAAAAAACTAAAATCCGCCCGCACCAAAGGTGCTGGGGCGTGATCGTCCGGATGGCACTCGTAAAAGGTTACAGGTTTACCTGGGGGTGGGGGCATTTTTCGGCCAAAACCTCCTGTTTTTGATAGGTCGTGACGCTCGCCTTCAAAAAACACTGTAAAAAACAGTACGGAAGACACCTGTTCGTGAACGCGCCCGTCCAAAATCGGCAAGCGAAAAGTGAAAAAAACCCGTGTTTTTCAACTTTTTGACCTCAATTTTTTGGTTTGCAACATCTTTTTTTGCGGTTCCGCAGGTGGCCGGGCCCGGAGGCGGATTTTTGAGTTTTTGGACCCGTTTTCGGACTGATTTTCGTCGTTTTGTGATAGCAGAAACACTGGTTTTTACAGTGTTTTTCTGTTTTCTGCATGCTTGACGGCTAGCTTCAAAACTTCCAAAAACCTCGTAAATTACGCTGTTTTATGTTACGATGTGAATGAAAACATCGTAAATACCAGTGTTTTTTGACGTTGGTTAAAAAAACTGTAAATTACAGTGTTTTTGGCCACCTGCCCCTCAAAAACCATGGTATTTGCAGTGGTTTCTGCTTCTCACCGCGCAAAAACACTGTAAATAACAGCAATTTCGCCGTTTTTTTCCATGTTTTTCGTTATTTTTTGAACTGCGTTGGTCGACAATCAGTACTTTCGGATGTTTTTGGTCTCAATGGCCGACATCATTGGCAGTTACGAGCGGTCGCGAAGGTGTGAGAACAACATCGTTCAAACCGTGGCGGCCGCACAGGGGTTCTTGTCGCGGAGCGACGGCAATAGAAGAGAACAATGGCAGTAGAAGAGAACAATGGCTGACATCATTAACAGTGTGGACCGTTCACTCGATATGTACATATATGATCTTTATATATATAGATATATCTCTCTATCTATCTATCGGTCTATCTTTCTCTATCTATTTTGGTTGGCCGACATCTTTGCCAGTGTGGAGCGTCCAGACAACAAAAGCCTACATCTTGCAGATATGATACTTGTAAAGCTTTCAAATTTATTGCTTGGTGCAAGGCAGCACCACACAACCTCAGGTTCAGTTCTTTTTTTTGCTCTGGCCGCTCACGGACGGAAAGTTCGCAAACCTGCCGTCCCAGGATCCACACCAGGCAAAAAAAAAAGCAGTATCGCCTCTATACTCTATGTCCGTTTTGTTGTTTGGGTTTCTATGAAATCAGGTTTGTCGTTTCAATCACAAAGAACGTCTTCATCCGACATGCCTTTTCATCATCATGATTACCATCATCAAATCTACAATCGTGCGTGCTCTTTAAACCTTGATGTGTTGGTTTTCTATGGAAACGGTCATCATCATGATCACCATCATCATATCTGCAATCGCACGTGCTCTTCAAACCCTACACAAGGGAAATAAAGGCCTTCTTTGATTGGGTTCCTTACCACCTGCTGCAGCGCCCCCTGCCTGGGAACCATGAAGAAACACACGCTCACCTGGAGACTGGTCACACACAATCCAGGCGTTGTTTACCGGCTGTAAAGATTTATTTTATATACATATACATTTATGGGAATGGGGATATTTTCTGCGATAAAATTGCAGGTGTCCAACGTCATGGGGCGATATTCGCCCCAAATCTTCCATTAGACCAGGACTTAGTATTGAAAACGCCCATGGTGACGACTGGGGATCCCTCATGACTTGGTAACCCATCACTCAACAACGCTCTTCGCGCCTCAACTCCTCCGCTCCACTTTCCGCTCCGCCCCTGAATCATGCCCCTGCTGTGTGAGCCCAACGATGCGGTGCGGGCGGTTGCCGTCGCGAAGCGACGTGAATAAAATGGCTGATCATTCATTTCAGATCAAACATTGCCGTTTATGGTCGGGAAATGTCCCAGGACAAACTCATGTCATATTTTGTTGGTTATATATCCCAGCGAATCTCCGCATTCAATGGTCGGTTTACCCTTCAGTAATAAAGTTTGATCATCAAGGTAGATAGGAAAGACTGAAAAAAAACAAAACACCATTTGTAGATCATGATTATATTATGTATGCTAAACCAAATAGATAAAAATAGATTTATAGATATTTATAGATATTTATAGATCATCAATATATAATATAGATATATAGATCATTTTTCTTGGGAAACCCTAGGCTTTCCATAGCCGAGACCTCCCAAATGGCACCTGTGAGGCCTTCAAATCAAAGGGGCCGCCCTTCTGACGAAGGATCCTCAGCGGTTTTAAGAAAGTTTTTGCGGATCTTTGGGCACTGGGAAAATGCTTGAAATTCTGAATCAACGCAACTATCGCTGGTTGGTGGTATACCTACCCATCTGAAAAATATGAGTTCGTCAGTTGGGATGATTATTCCCAATATATGAAAAAATAAAACATGTTCCAAACCACCAACCAGATCAACTATCAGTGTCCTTTGTGATTTGATCATGTCATGTCTGTTTTTATATGAAAATATATGAAAATATCATCCAAACATCACCCAAAATAATCTGATAGAACGCGCATCATTCCTGAGTTTTCCATATCTTGCTCAACAACTCAACAGCCCTCACCATCCAATCCGGTACAACCCGTGGGGCAGTCAGGCGTCTTGTTGCTAGTGTTTGTCACTGCAATTCCAAGTTCCAAAGCCATGTAGTTTTGCCTCTGCTGAACGTGGCATGTGGCCAGCATTCCAATGGCCACCTAACCTGCAAGGTATGATATCACTTGAGATCATATTACATTACAAAATGATATGATACGAGTAGAATGATAAACAGAATGATAGACAATATGCGTATGCGTAAGGGCTTCAGCCACAGCTTTGAGCCAGTGTCAGGAGTTATTCAACATCCTACTTTGTGGGTACCCATTTGTACGCCATGCCGACTCTGTTGTGATCACATGCCCATAATCGGCATGATATTTCCGTGGCTTTCCCCTTATGTACCGCTCAGCAAGAAATTGCTACATTGGTTCCTCCATAGCCATGAAACCACTAACCGTCACTAGCCCATATCTACACCTGTCAGGTCAACTCGACCCAGGCGAATTCATCAGGGAATCAATTCCCAAAAGGTGAGGGTCTACTCTTAAAATGCTCCAATTCAACCAGCAAGGTGAGAGCAAGGTCTCAATATTAATCCAGGGCAAACATGGTCTGACTAGCGATTTGAGCCCATTCCAAAATATGAGAGTGGGTGGAATCATCATCACATATTAGAGAAAAAAACAAAAGATCTTTCAAGCCGCAACTCAGACAATATGCGGTTGTGGTTCAAAACTCTGAATGTCCAGCATGGATGGTTTAGCACTCATTGCATGACCAATTACTAAAACCAAAGTTTGGTTGTTCCTCCCTATTGTAATTCTATTGTTTGATGGGTTATATCGCCATATATCACCCAACATCTCCCATTTTTTTGCTTACCAACATGCCAACAGGGTCCACCACCCAAGGTGAACGCCTTGCCGGCCTTGCCTTGCCGCCCAGCGGCACGTTGCTGGCATACAGCACTGGATCCACTTTTTCGGCTTCGTTGGGCTCCCAGATCTCACAGATCTTCACCTGCCTCATTTTGGGTCACGGTCAGGGGACGTTTTTTGAGGATAAAATCCCACTATGAAATCCCAACCAAAAAAGTGGAATATAGTAGAGGATGTTCCTGGGAATTTTGGAGGTACCATTTTTTTGGTTAGGAACATGAGAGGATGAACCCTGGGAGTTGGGGGTGGGTTCCCTAAATTTGAAGGTACCAAACCCATTTCCAGGATTTTCCATGCGATGCCACTTGGAAGTGCAGCACCCAGGAATTCGAGTTTTTTTGGAAGATACCCCAGTTGTAAATCGATAATGGGCTATAACAGGCTAGCAACTGGTTAGTATGTAGCTAGCTCACTCAATTATTTCTGGGACACAATGGGATATACCTCAGTAAAATATATGAATCACAGCAATCACGATTCCTGGGATGCACATCCAAGCAGCAACCTTGTGAAGGACACGTAAACATCCTGTAGATAATCATGTAGATAAGGGCAGACCCTATATCACTGCATCATCTGTATCTTTCGTCCTGGTGATGGTTTTTCCATGCGTTCCCCTCGTCATTTCAAGGTGGTGTTGATGTTAAAACCACCTAAAATGGGACATATTGAAACTTACTGAGCCATCCTTTATCCTCACTTCTCCAGCTCCAAGCTGATCCAAGCTGCAAGGTTATGTTGAATTGAGACATATATCCTGAGCAGCGGCCAAATCCAATGCTGGATGGTGGTCCCTGAATTCGAAAACATGGTGGAGATTCTTTGGATTCATCATCCAGCCGCATGGAAAACCGTGGGAGGCTGCCCTACTTCAGGCCCTGCAGACCAGTTTCTCAACATCATCCAGGGCAAGTCATTTCCAGGCCCGACGCGGGAATCGGAAACCCAAGCAGGATTCCTGAGTTGAATTTGAAATGAAATTCTGATGGATTTCAATGGATTTTCCCTTCCACCGTTAATGTCCCAAATTCCAGGCGGGTCTCAGACGGATACCCATCCACTTCCACCTGTCCACAAAGAGTGCAGTTCCAGGAATAAAATGTCATAAATGTATGTCTGTATGTATACGCATGCATGCATGGATGCATGCATGGATGGATGGATGTTATGTTATGTTATGTTATGTTATGTATGATATGTATGTATATGTATAAGCGGAGGTACAGGCTTCTTATATCCCAACTTATAGGTGTAAAATCTATGGATATAGCCATCTATAAACCGAACTGCACCCCAAAGTGGCAGCTATGGCTCATGAACTTGTAGGGAAATCTTTGAACGATGGGCTGCACAGGAACTCCCGGTGCAAATGCTCCAGTGTTGAAGCCTGGCAGAGCGACCCTTTTCAGCCCAACACGGCCGCCATCCTGTACATCTATGCATCTATAAATAACTATATTTATAATATATATATATGTATATATATATATATATACATATGTATTTTTTCCCAGCCGTACTCTGCGCCGACCAGTCCGGACGGACTCAATGCAGGGCGTTGGCGCAATCAAGGAATCAGGAGAGCTTGCTTAAAAAGATCTACTCATGGCAGCTGCATACACACAATTATCATCGGTATGTTCGTCAAAATTATGATATCCGAGAACTTGCTCGTAGACAAACCTTTTCGTGTGATGCAGCCAGTTTTGCCTCGGTTTTCCGACTCGTTTTTTTCCATAGTCAACTCTTGAAGCAGAATGTGGTAAGAAAGAGACTTGTCTCATGGGGTCGTCGTTGCTACTTCTGAGGATGTGTCCAAGTAGTTTGGCTCGTCTGTTCATGTGATATTCACTAAACCCAGTTATCTTTCTGTTATCACCGCGAGTCGGAAATGCAACCGAGGTTGCTTCATCTAATATTTACTGATTTGTGTAACGGCGAGCTGCAAAACTCGATGGTCTTTGAAGAATCTTTCTCAAGCTTCTCATTTCGAAAGCGTCTAACGATTTACTCAAGGCCTGTGTCAGGTGAATGGTTTCCAACCCATATAAAAGCTTACTTCGAATTATGGCGTCAGGCGTCAAAAATAATCAATTTCCACTTCTTACTTGCCCGTGTAGCTTTCCAATAAGAATCTAACTTAAACCAGGTTCTTCTGACATCGGACATCTTATTGAATACTTCGTGCTTGATATTTACAATCCTATTGATTTCGTTTCCAAGATACATGGCCTCAAACTCCTTGCCTAAAGGCGTACCATCTCCAAAATGAATGCAACCGTCATTGTTCATCGCAATTGCAACACACTTACTTTTGTTGAGTGAGAGGCCATATCCTTTTGAAATTTGCTCTGTATATCGCAGCAACTCATTTAAACCTCTGTTGCTACGGGAGAAGAGGACAGTGTCATCAGCGTAATACACCATGTCGAACTCCGCCCCTGGGATTCGGTTGTTTATGACATGCGCAGAAACAGCTTGTTGTATGTCCCAATCAATACAAGTCATGACAAGAACAAATAGAAAAGGTGATAGTGGGCAGCCTTGGCGAATCCCAGAGGATTGAACCTTCCTGTCACAACATCCAAAATTATCTTTAACAAAGAACTGGGGGGTTCTATAACAATCGGCGATGACATCTGTGTAGTGCGAATTGAAACCCAGTCGGTGCAGAGCGATAATAAGTTTGTCATGTTGAATCTTATCAAATGTTTTTTCCCAGTCAAGAAACGCAATGCTCAGGTTGGCCCCCTTAATTCCATAATAGTCCTGTATACGTCTAAGCACATAAATCGCATGCGATGTGGATCTGTTAGGTCTGAAACCGTACTGGGTTTTCGAAAGTAAAGTCTCAGTGGCTGATTGCATCCTGGCCCTGATCATAACCATGTAGATTTTATAGAAACTGTTGAGTAGAGAAATCGGTCTGTAATTGGAAGCTACGTCCGTATCACCCTTTTTGAAAATGGGTACAACTCGGGCAGTGAACAATGCCGACGGCGCAGTTCTCGAATGCCACCAACTGTTGAATAAGTCTAAAAGTAGGCGCCGGTTGGCATTGTCCAACCATTTTATCAATTCCGTGGTTATTCCATCAGGACCAGGCTGTTTGTTGGGCTTTGCCCCCTTGATGGCTGTACAAATCTCGTGCATTGTGAAACTCTCTGCACTTGCTTCATTGCTATCTACAATTTGGTTGGTATTTACATCGTGCTCTAAAGGGTTGCTCCAGTGTTGTTCCTCTAAATAGGTCGCTATTGTCTCTGCTCGTTTGGCCAGAGGGACATGTCTGCCATCCATGTTTTTTATTTTGATGTAATTAGGAACAAATTTCTTCTTCAGACCTTTGCAAGCTTTCCATAATCCCTTTTTACTGGGGTCCTGAGGATTTTCATTGAATTGTTCAATCAAATGTTCATGCTTGTCCTTCCGTGCCAAACGAGCAATTTCTTTTGTGATGTCTGCGACTTCTTTGTTGGTACTTCCGTTCCGGACTTGTTGATTTCTTTCTTCGATTTTTTTCCAGGTATTTCGTCGAATGAACTTTTTCTTTTTTTGTGGGGACTCTCTTTGTAGTGAACTTGCGGCCGCTTCTATGAAGGCATTCGTAAATGATTCTAAATCGCAACTCTTCCCTTCGAGTAGCGATCGAACTTTTTGGTTTTATGTTGCCCAGTTATGCGGGTCTGGTTTCGCGTATTGAATTGCCTGGGAGTTTACGTCTTCTTGTGGCACACGGATATTTGTAACAACATAGCATTCTAATAGGAAATGGTCTGAATCAAAGTGAATGTCAAGTCTGCTTTGGGTGTCCAACACTGTCCTTTTTTCCATCACACCGCATAACCAGTAATCTATTTGCGCATATTTTACAGCATCGTACGGAGGACCAATAAATCTAGAGTTATTATCAGTAGGCACCTTTTCCTTGTAAGTGACTAGTTTATCAGGTGGTTTAGAGAATTGGCTATTGCAAATCAGAAGGTTGTGCGATTTACAAAATCCAAGGAAGAGTGCTCGATTTTCTTTGGAAGCCTCATTCATATCATCTAAATACTGCATACCCCTACCTACAATATTTGGGCCGCATACATCTTTGTCACTATCCCTTACGAAGTGATTTCGAGCATTGAAGTCTCCGCCTACATAGAAGCAACCCTTTAATTGAGATATCTCATTTGATAACTGATCCTAGAAACCCTCTTTTCTTCAATGTTATGACCACTGAGGGGGGCATACGCGCATATAAAAGAAACAGGGGAGCCCTGTGCCTCAAATGTCGCAACAATAATCCTGCCGTTTATTTGTTTTATGTCTCGTAAGCTTGGCATAAGCACTGAGTTTATTACAATACCTACCCCTGCATTTTCAAAATCCGCCGATGATCTACAAGTTGTTCCAGGTGGACCTGAGATTGTGGTTTCTTCGCGTCTTTTCATTTCTCGTTCTCTTACTTTGGGATCTACGCCGCTGCTGACGAAACAGAAAGAACTTCCCCATTCTTCCCAGCAGGATGAATTAACGTTTGTTTCAGTCAACAGTATTAAGTTGTAGGAATGTTCTTTCATGATCGCATCTATTAGTTCCCGTTTTGTCAAATGATTACATCCCCTGACGTTCAGTGTTGCAGTCTTCAAATGCCTTCCGCGTTTTAACTTCCAATGTTTCGCGTCCTGTTGCTGAACTTGATTGCACTGGTATAGCCTTTTCTTTTGGCTTGCGATAGCTACACATTGACGCTGAATTTCCATAAGTGTGTTTCTGAACCAGCATCTTGCATCAAACATAGCTTTGTTGAAATGGTGGCGTTTCAAACATTTCCGTTTGTTAAGGTTGCTCTTTTTTAAACGTTCCTTGACTGCCTTATTGGCTCTCTCCCACAGACACATGTCACATGCGTTTGAAAAATCTCCACTGCCTTCTTCTATCTTTTCTTTTTTGGTTATGGCAATGGCAGAAACACAGACAGCCGCAAACGTCGCATAACCTCAGTATCACCACCAGTAGAACCAAAAGGGGTCACATTCGCCCCTGAACCACAAAACTTTCAATGTGGTACTCAACCCTTTAGGGTTAAACCTGGGGACAAGGGGACATTTAGGGGGACTGGGGAACCTTTAGGGGGGACTTGGGGGCATATGGTAACTTGCCTCTCTATTCAATATATTGCTCAACCCTTTAGGGTTAAACCTGGGGACAAGGGGGCATTTAGGGGGACTGGGGAACCTTTAGGGGGGACTTGGGGCATATGGTAACTTGCCTCTCTATTCAATACGTTACTCAACCCTTTAGGGTTTACCCCGGGGACAAGGGGGCATTTAGGGGGACTGGGGGACCTTTAGGGGCATCGAAACCGTGTTTGAAGGTGCTCGAAATGGATCTTACAACCTAGCATCCATAGTGTCCTGGAATTTGATTGAAATGGCTCTTGGAAGGTAACATCCAAAGCGTCTTCGAAGTTGCTCGAAATGGATGTTACAACGTAGCAATGGTACACCGTAGCATCCATAGTGTCCTGGAAGTTGATTCAAATGGCTGTGTTGGAACGTAGCATCCGAGGCGTCTTACACGTTGCTCGAAATGGATGTTACAACGTAGCATCCATAGCGTGCTGCTAGTTGATTGAAATGGCTGTTGGAACGTAGCATCCAAAGTCTTTTCCAACTTGCTCGAAATGGGTGTTACAACGTAGCATCCATAGCGTGCTGGAAATTGATTGAAATGGCTGTTGGAACGTAGCATCCAAAGCATCTTCGAAGTTGCTCGAAATGGATGTTACAACAAAGCAATGGTACACCATAGCATCCATAGTGTCCTGGAAGTTGATTGAAATGGCTGTTGGAACGTCGCATAGCCCATGAATATGACTCTCTATAGGGTGGAAAAAATCCTCTTGAGGCTCTGAAACTATTGCGCCTGCCACGCAAAAGCAGGGGTCACATTCGCCCCTGAACGAGGGTCACATTCGCCCCTGAACCCACTTCATCGCACTTCATTCAGGGGCAAGTGCGACCCAACATGGTTCAGGGGCAAATGCGACCCCCGTGCCTTCCCCGGGACAGTGCCCACCATTGGGCTGACTGAATACATATGTATATAATTACATAAATAATATAGTTACATCTACATAATATATATATATAGTTATGTTGATTTATCTGCATAAACATATATTATGTATATGCCTACGGCAGGAAAACCGTACGTGCGTTTTGCTTCTTTTTTGAGTATTGCTCTTTGTCTTGGGGTTGGGGTGGGGTGGGGGGGCATGTTAACGTTCCTTGTACTTTGTACAGGATATATTGCGATGTTGCTAAGATCTCTGGGATCTTTTACTACGTTACATGTGGCTACGCTGCTGGTATCTCTGAGATAGTTTCCTACGTTACATGTTGCTACGCTGCTGGTATCTCTGAGATAGTTTCCTACGTTACATGTTGCTACGCTGCTGAGATCTCTGGGATCTTTTACTACGTGACATGTTGCTACGCTGCTGAGATCTCTGGGATCGTTTACTACGTTATATGTTGCTACGCTGCCGAGATCTCTGGGATCTTTTACTACGTTACAGGTTGCTACGCTGCTGTGATCTCTGTGATCGTTTACTACGTTACACGTTGCTACGCGGTTCGTATCTCTGAGATAGTTTCCTACGTTACATGTTGCTACGCTGCTGAGATCCTTGGGACTTTCTTACTACGTTACAGGTTGCTACGCTGCTGAGATCTCTGGGATCTTTTACTACGTTCCAGGTTGCTACGCTGCTGAGATCCTTGGGATCGTTTACTACGTGACATGTTGCTACGCTGCTGAGATCTCTGGGATCTTTTACTACGTTACAGGTTGCTACGCTGCTGAGATCTCTGTGATCGTTTACTACGTTACAGGTTGCTACGCGGTTCGTATCTCCGAGATCGTTTGCTAAGGTACAACGTCTGATGCACATGATGTTTACCTGGATTTGTTAAAAATCAATGGATTTTGCATCCACTTTTTTTTAACCCAAATTCAGTTATCCAAACTGATCGGAAGAGCATTTTATATTGTAAATTGTAGGTGATTGTGACTCTCCTGGAAGCAACCAATCAAAACGCTCGCGCGGTTTCCCTTCCGCCGGGATGTATATGATGGCGTGTCAAAATGTTGTCGTACAGTTTCGTTTAAAAAAAAAAAACTTGTGTTTCTTTGCGTACCGTTTCATGTCTGGTCTGCCCAAGTCAATGTAACTGTTTCTGCAAAAACACACGGTTTCTCTATATACATGTTTCTGTAAGAACCTATATATATTGATTGTTGTTTCCTTGGATGTTTCATCGCCTTTGATTTTTTCTGTTGGGCATGCAACAAGTTTTCCGAGATTTTATGGTTGTTTCTGTTTAACGGGCGCATCTATGTTTAATCCCCTCCAAGTAGCGAAAGAGGCCATTCTCAGAGTTGGTAATGCCCTCAGGGTATATCACAAAGGCGCGAGAGTAAGGATATTGTCCACGTTCATCAGGCTCATTCACCACCTGAATCCACGCAGCATGGACTGACGAGGAATGGACAGCTTGCAGCTTGCGGCAAATGTTGAGGGTGTCCCTTATCATTGTTCAAGAAATCCCCGAAGAGTCTCCAACCAGAGTCCTACACATTTCACATCGGTGGCAACGGCGCTTGAAAAACTCTACCAACATCTGATGGTCACTTCCCTCATAATTATTACTTTCAACCAACCTCCCAAGCTGAAGCCACTTTGCACATCTTTGCACATTCATTTTGGGCAAGTCGCAAACTTCATGATGCCAGCATTCACCTTGGATCCAGCGAAAACCATGGAAAACCCTACTCTGTCTGCGGGTTCACCCCTTCCTTCGCACAATTTGGGTGTCAAAAGAAGCTCTTTAGATCTGGGCGGTGGGGCTGGTTTAGGGTCTTCCGATGTTGCGACACCGATTTTGGGACTCGTAGGAGCTGGTTTCCCTCATGACTAGATCCTTTTGGACAAGTGTCATCGTATCAACTCATATCAACTCCATGGATTTTTGGGTAGTAGATGGTAGTAGGTTCTCCTTCATCTCGTCATCACATATCACCACCATGTGACATCCGTTGAAGTGACATGAACCACCCAATTACAATAAGTTGGAATACTTTCTGCCGAGGAACTTTCTGCTTTACATCCTTGTCTTTGGTGTCGACTGCCACCTTAGCAGCCCAAGTCTCATGAATCTTCTGGGTCTGGCCCAAAATTTGCCAGTCCCAAAAAACCAGGGTTGTCATGGTTGGTGCTCTTTTGGACCCATTTCAAGCCAGGCACTCCGTTGCTGAATTGGCAAGCCGACTTGACTCCCGGGATGGAGAATTGCGATTTCGCCACGCAGCCGGACATGCCCCAGGTGATGTACTCCAAACTGAAGGCCTCGCCACGAGGCGACCGAAAAAGTCTGTTCCAGGACGGGATGGTTTTCATGCTACACTGACCCAAATTGGCAGCCATTCCCCACTGGACAGGGCTCCTGTTGGCTTCAAAATGAGATGTTTTCACAACGCTGGCAACGACAAGCTGCCACTTGTCCCATCCGTTTGGGAAGTCCAAATCAAATGTCGGCGTATCTCAAGCTTTTGAACAATCACCTGTGCTCGCCCTGCTTGAGTTCAGTAGTTATTTAACCCATCACAAGACCGCCATTGTCCAAAGATGCGCAGCCCAAAACGCGGTGGTTAAAATGACACTCATATTTACCCAAAAATCATCAACTAGCTCCATGTCTCATCCCATCTAGATTGGGGAATACGCGCATGCAGAAATCCATTTTAAAAGAAATAGGTACCGGAGGCCCTCCGGCGCCCCAGATTTTGACCAAAATCCTCCGCGACTTCCCCCGACCTCCAGCATGTTGATGTGATTGGGCACCACCACAGGGTGATTTCCAGCTTGCCCCATCCACTTCAAGCGCTCGCGGTGGAAGACCTGCTGGAAATGGGATGGGATAAGAATCATCTTTTCTGCTGGAAAGAATTGCAAAGCACTTTCTACATATATATATATATATAATCTAAGATATATGATTATCTGTAAATTCTGCGTGCTTGTGCAGAGATGTAAAAGCAAAGCTATTGTAAATGTGTCTTTTGTATAGAGACACAGAGGCCATCTGGAATCAATGAAATCGAAAACCGAGAATTTCAAGGCAGGCTGCCAAGGCTGTGGCCATGACTGCGTATTTTGGGTCCACTTGGGGTTCATCTGGCTCCATCTGATGAAGGACTCTGATCTGATCATTGCAAGCCAAGTCTTGATATGGTGCACCTCGTGAAACCGGGCGAATACCCTATAGTCCCACATGCAGAGGGCAAGTTTCATACTATGACATTGGCTAAACACTGCCCCAGAAGGATGATTTTTTGTTCAAAAAACAGGAACGGTGGATTTGACAGGGACTCAACTATTAAAGTTTAGCTATTTAACTTCATCATGTTCAAACTATTTCAAACTATCCCAGGGATGAAGACCAAAAAGGCTTGAAACAACCAACCAGTGCGGCAGAGTTCCATCATTGTTTCCGAATCCTCCTGGATAGGCCCGCCTGAATGGTGTAGCACGACGAAAGGTTGCACAGCAGCCCTGAACGCCGGGTGATGATCGTTGAGATCAAATCTGGAGGCAAAATAGGGTCGTCTTAATATGGTTTACCCTCTGGTAAACTAACATAACTATGGAAAATCACCATTTTTAATGGGAAAACCCACTATAAACGGCCATTTTCAATAGCTATGTTAAATTACCAGAGGGTAATTGGAGAACATTGAGAACATCATTTTCCACTAAGATGGAATGGGATGGGTTTCCGTAATTTTCAGGCAACAGATTGAGATGCTATGGCCCAAGCACATTGTGTTCTTCATGATTGCTCCAAAATTCCAAAGATGGAATGGTTGTCGTTGGGTTCCAAAAAAATGGACGATGTCAAAGTGACCAACATTAGAAATTGGATAGTGAATATATAATCTTATCCCGCTAAAATTCAACACCCCCAGAAACCATGGTTGAGTAGGGGGGTTACACATATTTGGAATCATTGAGGGGGCCATCTCTGGGATAAAATCAAACAAAATATGTCTATAGTCTATACGTCAAGGAGCTACGGTGAATGGAATTGGCGCATTTGATTCTGAAAACGAAAACAGAATTCTCCATAGATTCTCCGTAGATTCTTCATAGATTTCCCAAATCTTGAATCGCCAGCACCGAGTAGCTGGACAGCAGTGCAAAGTTCGCATTACAAAAGCCTCGTAATGCACTGGCGGGCCATGGCCGGAGATCATCGGGGGGTCACACCACTGGGGGTCCTCCAAGACAACTTTACAAATTGAGGGTCACATGAATTCAAATTATATATATATATAGATCATATTAGATCATCAAAAGCACCAACATCTTTGGCTAAGATGCGATTCTGGCAAACAGCATCAAACAGCTCATTTTTGCAGAGGCTCCTGGCATTTGAGAACAATTATGGACCATCCCACTCAAGATGCTGCAGGATCTTACCTTCTGCGCAAACAAGGTCATATTGAATGGGTCGTTGGATCTTGGAGCTACTGTCAAGACACTGCAATGGACACTCTTCGAATCTCTTCGGCCTCTCTTAGACCAATGTGGGTAACCCTATACCATACTGTAGACCTACCATTTGGGGATGGTTTTTCCCAGTTTTTCCCATAAATATGGTGATTTTCAGGATCGTTTATCCAAAATGAATATCTATCTTCACCAGGCCACGGATCATCCTGATCATCCCATCACGGTTTTTCTCCCAGCAACGATGACCACAGCTGAAGGGTGCGAAGTAGCAACCGATCTTCACATTCAAAGCGACGACTGCGAAAACAACGACGAAGCTGATCAATCGAAAAAGTAGAAGACCTACCAGCAGAATCCAAAGCTGAGTGGCAATCAGCGACTTCGTCTCACCGAAGTCTCCCAAGATGATGTAGGGATGTGTCAGTGGCCACTAGGTACCCCCAAAACTTGATGGCTTTGATAATAACAAGATCTAAAATTGACCAAAATCTGTAGTGCCCTAGGGGCTTGCATTGTGACCCATGCCATAATGCACAGAAAAGATTAAAGAATGAAGCGTCTTTCCAGGAAACCACACCACCTTACGAGTTTTGCTGCATCCCAACAAAGTCTACGGGATATCCACTGGACATGATTAAAATGTGGGATTGTTATGGGATCACCACCCATCTGCCCATCTGCTTCTGGCTATTGACCTATCAACACCTCCAATGAAATTCCAACCAAGAAAAAACATTTAGAGGAGAACTGAGAAGTCCATGATTTTTACAAGTTATAAGCGGAAAACCATGGTAAACCCAATCATAAACCGTCCCTAATTGGGGTTTAGTAATATCTTATTACCCTCTGGTAATTTAACATAGCTACTGAAAATGACCACAGAAATAGTGGATTTACCCATTGAAAATGGTAAGTTTACCATAGTTATGTTAGTTTACCAGAGGGTATTGGGTATACCTGGTATACCTCTGGGATGATTTCTATACCTCGGAGGCCCTCCGGCTCCGGCCTGTGCACAAAGACAGGACCTGCAGGAAGTCAAGGGACGGGCTGTTGTGGCTTCCACAAGAATGGGATGAGATGATTGATGAATTGATGATGTTTGGATCATTTAGAAATTTTAAGATCAAAAATCAAAAACCTGAACATGATTTTAAAAACATGTTGAGAACAAAGCTTGGCCTATCCACTGTCAAAGTGCAGGATTTCATGACCTGCCACAGCCCAAGTGGCCATGAAAACCATGTGGCCCAGAGGGCCCAGAGGCCTTCTGGAAGCGAAGATGGCCATGAAGCCAAGGTACAAGCTTAAATACTGCATATGGTGGCCATCCAGGGGTGTCATACTCATAGCACTCGTGCCCAGCACCAACTTTTGCCTGGATTGAAACCATTTCATCCCTTCCGACATCGCGCTGAGGGATCAAATGAGCCATGAAAAAAATACATTGGTTGATTGGTTGTTAAGCGGAAATACACTAACGGGCTTATTAGGGATAATTATATAATTATAACCCATAGCATATGATAGCATATTATATGCAACTTGACCCATCTCCGCTCACCCCTCTTTGGTCCCCTTGGTCATTTTGCTCCCAGGAATGCTATTCATTGATATTCAAAAGTCCGCAAACTGAAACTTCAACTTGGGCCTCCTCTCCGCCATCGGATTTTCTCTTGTTTTGCAACCTTAGTTTCCACGCGCGCGATGGTCACCGTGTCACCGTGTCACCGTGTCACCGTGTCACCCATGCCATGTCATGCTGCCAAGCTGCGAGAGATCCGGCCATCTATACGGACAAAAGCAGTTCTGCAGCAGGGCCACAAACCTGCAGAATTTTGGGGAGCGCCCCCTTGGAACATGAGCCGTAAGTTGGGGACTTGGTCATCAAATATGGGGAGAAGGAAATTGCTAATTGAAATGCTCGGCGACACTACGCCACTACGCTGTGTCCTTTGAGATCTTGAAGTTGTCCGCACTGCATTTGAAACTCTGCAAAACCATTGAGGGAGACCCAAAAGATCCCCATGATCCAACTGTCTTGGGTGGTCAAGGGATGTCAACTGTCAACCTTGGTCTCCGAAGTACCTCCATGCGGCTGAGGGGCCAAAGCAGTAGGTGGAAAACAAAACCGAATCCGAAGTATCCTGCGATGACCAATCCAACCACCATGGCTGCTCAAACGTGGCGAACCTGGTGAGTTGGCAAAAAATGCTGACCTCAATGCCTCAATCCCTTTTGATTTGGGTCAGAGATAGCACCGGCATGAATTCACCTGCACCGAACTTGCTGGAAGAATGGTGTCGGACCGATGAATTCCGCCTGCTGATCGAATACCTGTCTCTGCATTCAAAGGAAAATGTACGTTTGTGAAGAATTACCAATCAAACTAGCCACCAAACTGTAGCAAAAATTCCATGTCAACAGGACCCTTTTTTAATTGTCAACCCAAACCCCCATGGCTTAGGGCGGCAGCCCAGCTTGAGCACAAAAATAGCCCCTGACAAGGAAAAACGCGAGCTGGCACAGATCCACGCCACTTTCGCTAACCGAGGTGAAGCAAAAGAAATAATCAGGGAAAATTATATCATATAGCCATATATATATAATTCACTTCATATCATATCATAACTGCTGGTCCTTCCTCTTGACCCTGATGCGCGAAGAGAGGTGGGTGACTTTCCAATAGTGGATAGATCATGATAGAACACACAGTGACATCACCAGTCAAGTTCCCATGATAATCAGTCTACATGGAATTTCTCTCCACTGTTCCAAGAATTGAAACCTCAACACTTGGTGAATGCCATGACTGAAGTCCATGTGATCTCCGGCCGTTTTCGCGTCATGTTTGGTCTCTTGAAGGAGCTTGGCCCCTGGCGATGGACAATTAGGATCACTGACGGATTTGTAGCCTCAATAAATTGTTTTTTCAATCCTCCAAAATTGTTTGTTCAATCCTCCGGCCATAAACACCTTCCATTGATCGATATCCGCTGTCACTGGTCTATCTCCCCCCATTTTCATGGTGACACCCAATCAATGGATTGCTTCAAGGGAAAATCTATGGTTGAAACCATGTTTTTTACCTGCAATTACAGGGGTGCCTGGTTTCAAATTCCAATCATCTAATTGGGACTTGAGCCACTAAAAATACTCCTATCCCATCCATCAAGAACTGGTTGGTAAATAGATGTCCCTATTCTGGACTTGAATAAACCCTAATAAACCAGGTACCTTAATAGCCCCCTATAGTAACCAATCAACCGTTATTTACCAATTGGATTCCCATATGTTTCATGCTAAAAACCCCGAAATATGAATGATGGTGAAACTAAATCCCAGAATTTCATGTATCAACTGTTGCAGTCGGTTTTTTCAATGCCACGGGGCTCACCTCTTCGACTGAGGATGCTCAGCGAGGCGCGAAGTTCGCGAAGGCCCAAGTCATGCTCCGCAGAGATGGCATGGACGTACCTTGAGAGCATCCATATATGGTTGCCATATATGGTTACCATATGGCAGTGTGTCAAAACCTTGTACCCCTGGTGAACATCAAAATAGCTGGTAAATGGATGTGAATAACCCCCTAAAAATGGTATTAATAGGTATTGATCCATAGCCATATGGTTACCATGTTTAATAATGGTGACTAGTTCATAATGGATGATGGATAATGATGGTTAGTCATATTTAGTAATTGTGAGGAATGATCAATGATCTGGATAAAGCTTAATACAAAACCTGAAAGAATGCCAAATTTGGGATGCTTATCCCCGTTCACCACCGTTCCAGTGACGTCGCAGCGGCTTCGTTACAAGTCTTCCAGATATAGGGGGTTTTCTGAAAATTGGGCACCCTAAAATTTCATGGTTTTAGAATCTCATTGTCCCTATTGTAAAGTTGATGGCCTAGGGGGTATACCCACGTATTGGCGTACCTGGATTTGTATGCTGTATGTATTAATATGATCATCTTTGTATTTGATGATAGGGGATTGCACACATGCTCATCCCAGTATTGCATTGGTTGCAAAGCTTAACAAAGTCATGAAACAAGGGATAACAAGGGTATGTAAATGATCTTCAGGGATTACGGCCCTGCAACCACTAGTGTTATTCTGAGTGAAGGAATGTGACTTAATAAGGGATGCCAAACCAGTCATAGATGGCGGTGATTGCCCAAATCGCTGGCTGCAAATCACAACCTTCAAGTGTTCCTGAAATGTGTGATAAATTCGCACTTGTCATTGCCACCACTTTCAACATGTTCAACATATCCGTCTTATAGTAATCCCGCCGATATTTGAAGAAGTATGATTCGGCTTGTTCCACACCAAGACACGGCCAGATGAGGTCTTTGTCCAAATGCTGCAACGCAGCAATGACCTCCACTGGTGACGGAGGAAATACTGGTGAAAAGGCAAAGGTAGCAGCGCCTTAGGGGAGAAACAAGCAAAGAGCACAAACTTTTGCACACATCCCAGGTATCCTTTTCGCTGTAGTGATCAGTCCAGCCCTAGGGTTTAGCCTCCATACTCAAAATCAACTTCCCTGATTAGTTGTTCATCTTAGTGCAATTTCTGACCCACGCAGAACGTTAGCTGTTGGCAAAGCAGGTGGATACACAAAAAGAGACGCGAACGGCTGCTGGTTGGGGAAAGCCAGCCTCGGACACGTTCTTGTGGAGGTCAACAGGATGACATCTGTCCGCCTCCCCACAGCCCCACATTTCATGGTCGATTCTGGGGGAAAAACACGGTCACAAAGCACCAAAAATCGAGGCTGGTGCCCCCTGAGTAATCTCCCCCCCAAAAGGAATCTTGGATATCATATCGGTTTTGTGGATATGGATCAAAACCATTCAAAACCATGCTGCACTTGTGAACATCAAAGTAGCTGGTAAATGGATGTAAATGGATATTCATCCACCAAAAATCACAAAGTTGCTTGTCATTGACCCCCATTTGTTGGATTTCTTAGGGTGCTAGGAGGTGCGCCACAACTTCATTCCCAGCCTTTGTGAGCACCACCATCATCTGCCGCCCACTGTCCATCACGGTCTGCAGAAACCCCAAACCAAGAAACGCTCTGCCAGTGTGTTTTCTCTTAAATGGGAATGGCTTGCTGCGCCCCAGAGCCATGCTACGTGGCATGCTACGTGGCATGGTCAAATCCATACCACCTCCCATAGGCGTTCATCATCGCGACGGAGCCCACGATAGGAATCCTGAGCAAAAAGGGCCCGTCTCGTTCAGCTGGGGATATAACCCCTTTGAAGTCAGCAAAATGGAAATGGGCCTGGAAAACACAATTTCAGACATCAAGAAAAACGAACCTTTTCTGTCCTGGTACACCCTGGTGGTAGTGGGAACCTCCATCTTGAGTAGGAAAGTCATTGACAATAGCTACATGGGTCACGTGCACCCCGGCTGGAAAGTAGCTAACCGAGTTCCTAGCCACCAAACAAATGACGCGCTGGAGACTTTTGGACCTTGGGTCAAGGTTTTCAAGATGCAGACAGGGATTCTTGATGGATGTCTGATGATTTAGAGCACAAATGGAGCAAAGAGAGCAAAAATACTTCTGCACCCACGACCATGCCATGTTGCCAGATGTTTGTTTGGATTGCCTGAATTCCATGGTGTCGGAACCAATTCTGGAGCTCAACATCCCAAATCCTGGGTCCCAAGATTTTGCAATTTTCATGGCTCAAACAATCCCATCAGCTTCTGAGGGGAATCAAGCCCTCCGGCCGTTTCAGGTAAACCTTCACCAATTCTTCCCAATCCTCAGTGAAAAATGCAAAGAAAGTTCCTGTGGTATTGATAGTATTGTCTGATAGTGGCCTACCCCCTAAAAATCCAAGGGATTCGAACATCACTTTCCCATACTTTCCCCATTTAAATGGCCATATATGGCCATGTTTCATTGCAATCTTTTGGGCCTCAACTGGGTATGGTTGTGGATCGCAGCCCTCATGCGATTCTGCACCCAACAAAAGCGGCTACAACTACGGTTGATGAACATTAACCTGCATCTTACTATCATGAAGAGGAGTGGGTGAGAACAAATTGAGTGTTGATGATATATATATATATATACACAATTATATACACATATTATACATCCAGTATAATTCAGTATATAGAAATAGAACATGTAAAAGTGTATATCATGTATGGTCAACGTCAAGACTTGTACCCATCCAACCGGTTTTAGCTCGCCAGGGACCTCCGACTTGTCGCAACTTCTCCGAGACCTTGTGGGCGGGACCATATCCTGGCCTTGGACAGGAAGACTGGGAGAATGGCTGCATGTGTATGTATGTCTATGACTGAATATCTATGCAATATGTGTAATAATGTGTAGTATAATGATGATATAGAAATATATGATATTCATATCAAGTAGATATATCGCTACTGCCTGACGTTTGCCCGAAATTAACGGAAATCCATGCGGGACTGCAATCTGCCGTGTTGCTTCATCGCGTGTTTTTCACTAATTGCAAGCATGCAAAATGATGACATTGCCTTTTCGTGCTTAACTAAGGCGGTGCCAAAGTCACTTTTCAAGACATACTCCGTAATCTGCAGTGTTTCAAGCCTTTAACCAAAACCCTCAACAAACCGTAAGACCTCACCAGAACCCAAATTTACCCAACCATACCCCACACTGTGCAATCTTTTTCGGAAACTCTGCGTGGCGGCGGCGTTTTCCCGCACCCTCTAGACGAGCTGGACCTTGGAAAACCGCCGATAAGGCCTGAAGGGGTCATCAATCACTATCAACCCTTATTGTTAGGGGGTTCTTGAGGCTAGTATTGCTGGAACCTTTAGATTTCCACAAATGTAACCGGCACCAGAAACCAAAACTGCCGCTTTTAAGCCAGAAATAGTGGCCACTTGAGGTACTGCCCAGCTGTCCTTTTAGCGCATTTACGTATAGCATACGTATAGCAACTTTCAAAAAGATAGAAAAGTAAAATCCGACCAAAATATGAGTAATTTATGTAGGTTACTGTTCTATCTTTTTTGTGGTTATAGCTAAAATCTCTCCCTCATGAACCATCAAAACGAACTTGGTGCCCCACACCAGAACCGAGCTGCGAGTGAGGCTTTCCTGCGCCTCGTCATTGATTGAAAGCTCCTCGAGAAGATCAGAGTCACTCTCCGCCTCCCAGCATTCCTGGTGGAGTAGACTTTGAGGAGAGGAAAATGGAGAAAGCGTTTGAATGTTTAAAGATTGGGCAGATTGGGGAAAAAACATGAAAAAAACATGCTTTCAACATTTCAACGCTTTCCAATTTGGGGCGGCTTCTCAAAACACCATTTTGAAAACCTGTGTCATGCAGGGTGTGAAGCAGAGAGTTGCTTGCAGCTCGATGTCTGAGGTGAACTGCGAGCCCAATATAGCTCGGGCGTGTCCCAAATACTGTTCCAGCAATGCCTAAACTCCATCAGAACAGTCAAGTCAAAGTTGGGTTTGTTCAAAAATTGGTTTATAATATATATATATTATACACATAATATCTCTCATATAATCTCCCAAAATTGCCATCAAATACTTGGAAACGTAAGATTGTAAACCTTTGGAAGTCGGGGTACTCCATGTTCAGACAATCCCAAATAGCTCGGAAACTCATCCCAAACTCCCTTGGGTGCTCCTCCGTCAACATCTCTTCAAGGATATGAATCCTCCACTTGGCAACCCAACATGGGATACCAATGGACCGTGCCATTTTGTGTCATTCCAAGGATTTCACCATCATTTTTTGGGGGAGTACAATACCATTTTGGGGGCACAAGAAAACAAACATGATTTTGCCTCTTTACAAGCTGAATTCTCATGTTCCCTTGCCGAAGGCTGGCCTGCAATTTCCTGAAACTCGTAGCTAACTCATTTTCTCAACAACAATTTCCCATGCATTGGTGGCGAACCTTAGAGATGCCGATCCAACTCTTATTATCCTTCAGAATCCTCCGGGACGGTTACCCCGTGAGGCGTCCATCCAGAAAAGCTTTACAACAACACCATGGAAACTGTTCCTTCTTGTGATTTTATCGACTACACTTTTCTGTGGACAGCCAACTTGCACACCAATAACCCATAGCATCCCAATCCCACAGCTACATCACCCAGTCCAACACAGAAGTCCTAAAGGGCACCGGACTCGTTACACGTGGCAAGGACAGCAGCAGATCCTGCGCTGAAGGGAGTTTTATAAAGTGATCAATAATCTTAGGAAATTTTGGGCCTGCAAACATTGGAAATTCCAAAATAACTATTTTGTGTTTTTTGTTTTTTGTCATTTTTTTGCATTTGGGTTTGTCATTTTGGATTTGCGTTATCATTTGTGTTATCATTTTTGTGTTGTTTCGTCATTTCTTTGTCATTTTTGCGTCGATGACAGAACCACAAAAGAAAGGGCAAAAAACTGTGCCGAAGTCAAGAGAACGGAAAGAAGGTTACTGTGCAAGCAGCAAGCGGAGAACAAAAGAATTCAAACATGGACGCAGGAAAACCAAGAATTGGACAACGACCACCAAGTTGCAGTGAAGGAGGAAACTGACAAAACACATGAAAAACAATGCTAGAAAGTAGAAAAACGACAAGAAAACGACAAAAAAATGACGAAAAAATGACAAGAAAATGACAAACAAGTGACTTAACAAATGACAACAAAATGACAAAACAATGACACCACAAAACAGGAATGGAAAAAATGCAAAAACCAAATGACAAAAAAATGACACAAATAAATAATCAACAACCCTCAGAGTTTGCTGGTAAGATTTTCATAACAATAATCAAATACATCCCCAAACAAAACCACGCGGAACCCAAGAATTGCCATATCCAACGGCAATGCCACCTTCCAAACACCATACTTACGGTTCCATTTTATATTGAACTAGGGGGTGCGATAAAATAAATCAGTCAAATCAGTGAATCAATGGAAGAATCAAGAAACCATGAATGAACCGATCAAAACCACATCGAAACCAATACACTCATTGCCAACAAGTATTACCAAAACTCAATCAAAGTTTGATTCAAAACCTATAATCTGATAAACCCAACAATTCCGTAAAGATCAAACATATTGCAATAAAAAACGCAACTTCCTTTTTCACGTTGGATCATTATTTCAACCCTCGGTAGCCCTTGGTAGCCCTCTCCCAAATCTCCAGAAGTAGCACTGGCGAAGGCAAGGAGGGCACCAACATCTGTTGCAAGCGCCGAACCTTTGCGCAGCACTGGCCGGGATGTGCGCACTGGACCCTAGTTGAAAAGGTTTACCATGGTAGAGTCGTGGTGTAACCGTTAACCCGTGTAGTATACATATGCATTATTATATACGTATTATTATATTATATTATATAATTATATATATACAGGTATACACACTATATGATATGTACATAATATAATATATATATATATAAACACTCGCAACTCCCTGTTTTACTTTGCTATGCAGGCCAATTTTGTCAGATTAAACAATAATGGAAACGGCAACGAATGTTTAGACTGTCATTGAAGGTTTCCCCCACCTTCTTTTCGTGCCCCCTGGGGTCCTCGCCACACCGAGGGAAGCCCAGGCCCGCGACACAAGACACGTCTAAAACATTCAAAACAGAGAAAATTGTATTTAAAATTTGGCAGTATACGAATGTTTAGACTGTCATCAGAAGGTCTCTCCGCCTTCTTTCTTCTATTGGTGCCCCCTGGGGTCCTCGCCACACCGAGGGCAACCCAGCGCGCGACACAAGACAGGTCTAGAACATTCTATATACACAGAAAAACATCGCATTGAAAAAAAGGTCGGTGGTAAAACGAATGTTTAGACTGTCAGCGGATGGTCTCCCCGCCTTCTTATGGGTCCAGTATAATACTGCCCGTGCCCCCTGGGGTCCTCGCCAGACCGAGGGAAACCCAGCGCGAGACACAAGACAAGTCTAAACCATTCCAAACAACGAAATACTCATGGCATTTGAAAAATTTGGGGGCCCTCCTCCCTTATCTTCGCATCTTTTTTGCGCTTTGTGCTCCTCGCTTGGGAGGGGGGGTTTGGGACTGAAAGCCAGAGCTACAGAAAGTAATGCGGGAATTCTCGTGTTTACCCACGTAAACGTAAGTACAAACACTCGCAACTCCCTGTTTTACTTTGCTATGCAGGCCAATTTTGTCAGATTAAACAATAATGGAAACGGCAACGAATGTTTAGACTGTCATTGAAGGTTTCCCCCACCTTCTTTTCGTGCCCCCTGGGGTCCTCGCCACACCGAGGGAAGCCCAGGCCCGCGACACAAGACACGTCTAAAACATTCAAAACAGAGAAAATTGTATTTAAAATTTGGCAGTATACGAATGTTTAGACTGTCATCAGAAGGTCTCTCCGCCTTCTTTCTTCTATTGGTGCCCCCTGGGGTCCTCGCCACACCGAGGGCAACCCAGCGCGCGACACAAGACAGGTCTAGAACATTCTATATACACAGAAAAACATCGCATTGAAAAAAAGGTCGGTGGTAAAACGAATGTTTAGACTGTCAGCGGATGGTCTCCCCGCCTTCTTATGGGTCCAGTATAATACTGCCCGTGCCCCCTGGGGTCCTCGCCAGACCGAGGGAAACCCAGCGCGAGACACAAGACAAGTCTAAACCATTCCAAACAACAAAATACTCATGGCATTTGAAAAATTTGGGGGCCCTCCTCCCTTATCTTCGCATCTTTTTTGCGCTTTGCGCTCCTATTCCACGTCCCCCAGTCCTGCTCTCACAGAGAGCTTGCTCAAGCGATGGCATAGAACCATACCGCAGAAAACAATCTGGGACTGGTAGTAAAAAAGGGACTTAAAAATTCCAGCCGGCCACAATTTCATCCAAGGACATCCAAAGACTCACATTTGAGGTGAGTCCCGTGTGAGATTCTTATGGCACAAAAAATAGACTTCCGGTCCTTTAATTCTCAACTTGAGGCTTAAAAGTGAGAGGGGTTGAACATTTTACGGAAAAGCGTCCGCTATTTCCGTGCCCGCAGTTGCATTTAGGAGAAAGACCTTTGCTTGCCGGATTTAGTGAATGCTAGAAACACTTCTGGCAGATATGAACAAATCATTAGAATTGGAAAGATTACAAGTTCAAGCTAAGCCAATTCTTCGCTGCTTGCTGAGACCTTCAGGAAATTAGTTTGTATCCACATAGGCCCAGTTCGAAAAAAAAACGAGCTAGTACCCAATTCTCCGCATCATCTCCCTTGAGCGATACCAAGCCATACAATTTGATTGTGGCTTTCATTGGGAGACAATTAATGGGGTTCTTGTCTTGAGGAGGTTGAGGAGGTTGAGGAACAAGTCTTTGGCAAAATTTGGAAGAAAGATCCTTAAGAACTGAATCTGGGCAAGAAGGGAATAGTAGGAATCTTGAGATAACCGCCGGATAACCTCTCTTCTTTCCCTTGGCTTCGAAGGCGCGTTTGTGCCCTGCCAAGCGGCCATGTCGCCTAAGAGGTCGATGATGAACGTTTGGGAGATCCCACTCCCTGGATGTTCACATTGCTTTCGGAAATTCGACGCAATAAAACGGAACAGCTCAGGCATGACAAACCTGCAGCGCTAAGTGTCGCAACTTGAACGTTTGCCCCAAGCGAGGCCTGTTTCACCGATCTGGGGTGCCTATGGAGCCCTGGCTCACCGAAGCGGCCTCTTATCTGATCTGAATGAGCCAGTCGTAGCCCCTGCCGGCAGCTAAACCTAAACGATAGGTTGGCCAACTGTGGGCGGCTTAGGGAAGAACAATGCTTTAAAGTACATTTTGCATGTTAAACAAAGTTGAAATAACCCTGAAGGACATATCTTGCCTTGCCCCAGAATCGATATGAGGCAAGCGGGCCCGGGAAACACGCTAATTACAAACCCATGGAAACACCAATCACATGCAAGCCAGCTCTTCCCACTTCAACCAAGCCTTTACCCCAACAAAAGAAGTAACTATTGCGCTCGCTGCTCTACCCTTGGCAGGATAACCTCATCAAGCTATACTGACCTGTACAGGACCTCTCTTGCACCAGATTCTAGAACTCCAGAAGATTGAGTTTGGGGTGCAACGACGTGGCAAAACTTTTTACAGAGACTTGTAGAGCAAGACTCCGCTGCTGCAATTTAATGCACAACCTTATCGTGAACACAGTTAAAGGGTTGGGTCCCGTGGCACAGCCATCCAAAAGTAAAAACAAATCACCTACTATTTTCTTAATCCTTTGATCGCGCCAAGGTCAAAGACAGTCCCTTTCACGATTTTCAGGCGCTCATGACAGATGCCCTGCGACAGGAGGAGGAGAACTATCGCCAATTCCTGCCATGGACCTTGGCCTGCATTTTTTAGCTTGCTCCAAAAGCATCAGGGCATCTTCCACCATGCTGTGTAGTGGTTACAGTGGTTACTACTCACCTCTGCAACCTGCAATCCAATGAGGACCACCGCGTCTTGATGAGCCTCTGGGAGCCACCAACCTATCTGCACAGCTCCCCTCATCAACTAACGCTTGCATTGGATGGGAGTCCCTAGAGCCCCGCAGTGACTCCCCTGTATTTGCATCGTTCCCTCATCAATGAACATGCTTCCCACATCCTGGTTGGAGCCTGATGCTTCCAGCTCTCACCTCACATCACCCTTACCTTCTCAAGTTGCCTCGGCTTCCCCTGGGAGGATTCACCTCCCTTGCTTTCTTGCATCTTCTCACCAACGTCTTCAGCTCTTCTTCCCCTTGAACTGCACCCAGAATGGCATCACCTTCTAAGAAGATCGCTTCACCTTTTTTGCCTATTCTTTCTCTCCTCAGAAGTCAGTTCCTCTTGTTGGGATCTGGGTCCCTGGGTCCATGCCGGTCTCCTTGCTGTGAAAGATTTGCTCCATCTCAAATTCCTCCGCGTCCTCTCTGGGAGAATTGGCTTGTCTCCCATGCGGCGAGAGCACTGGGCTTGAGCCCGATTTGTTGAAGCTCCGCTCTTCCTCACGAAGCGCTTCTAGCCCTCCTAGTCCTGGCTGACTTCGCACACAACTCGCTGTACGTGAAAGCTGGTACTAGGCCCTGGCGAAAGCTTCTCTTTCTCCCTCTGACTTATCAAACTGCCAAGAAAGCCTTTCGTTCCTATGTCCAAATCTTCTTGATCGTGATTGGGGACTTCGATTAAGGCTAAGGGAGGCTTCCCCTTGCTCCACGCATTGGGCGACCTCTGCCTGGTGCGTAAGAAGGCTGGTCTCCTCAATGCCGCTTTGTGAGATTAGTCACCCTTCTTACCCTTTAATGGCTCTTCAAGTCCTTGCATCCTCGAAGCTGCGTTGGGAGCAACTTCGCTCCCCTTATGTTAAAAGGTTTAAGTAAACTTGCCAACGCCGCCTTGGGAATCATAGACTCCCTTTATCTTTTTAATAAGGCCTCTTCAAGTCTTTGCCTCCTCCAAGTTGCTTTGGGAGCACTTTCGCTCCCCTCAGTTTGAGAAGTTTCGGTCAGTTTGCTGCATGCGCTGGACGCTGGATCTCTCCCCTTGCTCCATGCCTTTAACGACCTGTGCTTGTGCATAAGAAGGCTGGCCTCCGCAATGCCGCTCTGGGAATCATAGGCCCCTTTGTTCTTCAAAGGTTCTTCAAATCCCTGCCTCCTCCAATTGTTTTGGGAGCAAGTTCGCTTCCCTCATGTTGAAAAGTTTAGGAAAACTTGTTCCTCATTGGTCCACGCGTCTGTTCACGACCTCTTGATGTGTGAAAGAAAGCTTGTCTCGGCAACGCCGCCTTGGTAATTCATAGGCTGCCTTTATCTTCTAATAAGGGCCTTTCAAGTCCTTGCCTTCTCCAAGTTACTTTGGGAGCACTTTCGCCCCCCTTAGGTTGAGAAGTTTCAGTACGCTTGCTTCATGCGCTGGACGCGCCGATTCCTTTTTGCTCAACTCTTTTGTTTTCGACCTCCGCTATGTGATTTTAAAAGCTGGCTTTGTCAACGGTGATTTGAAAGACATAGTAATCCTCCACTCTTAAAAGCCCTTGCATCCTTATGGACAAGATCTCAGTTGCAACTATCTCTTATATCTGAAGGCGGCTGGTCTCCTTAAAGTACTTTGGGAGTAATCTCACTCCCTTCATGTTGAGAAATGCCGGGAAGCTTGCTGCTTGTGCTGGATGCGTTTTCTCTCCTCTTGCACCACGCCCTTGCAGGTCCCTGCTGTGCGCGTAACAGCTGATCTCTTCAACGACGCTTTGGGAGACATAGCCTCCCTTCACTCTTCAAAGCCATCCTCATGGACAAATTCTCGATCATAACTGTCTTTGAAAGCAGGTGGTCTCCGTCAAGACGCTTTGGGAGCAATCCCGTCATTTCACTTCCTGCATGCTGTGAAATTCCAAAAAGCTTGCTGCTTGTGCTGAATGCGTCTTCTCTCTGCCGGGTACGTAAACGCTGGTCTCCTCAACGATGCTTTGGGAGACATACCCTCCCTTCACTCTTAAGAGCCCTTGCGTCCTTATGGACAAAATCTCAATCACAACACTCTCCGAAAGCAGCTGGTCTCCTTCAAGTCACTTTGGGAGTAATCTCACCCCTCACTCCCTTATGTTGAAAAGTTCCACGAAGCTTGCTGCTTGTGATGGATGCGTCTTCTCTCCTCTGGCACTACGCCATTGCGGGTTTGTGCTCTTCAAAGCCATCCTTGTGGACAAAACCTCAATGATAACTGTCTTTGAAGGCAGCTGGTCTCCGTCAAGTCGCTTTGGGAGCAATCCCGCCGTTCACTCCCTTCATGCTGAGAACTTCCAGGAAGCTTGCTGCTTGTGCTGGATGCGTTTCTTCTCCTCTTGCTCCACGCCCTTGCAGGTCCCGGCTGTGCGCGTAAACGCTGGTCTCCTCCACGACGGTTTGGGAGACATGGCCTCCCTTCACTCTTCAGAGCCCTTTCATCCTTATGGACAAGATCTCAGTCACAACTATTTCTGAAAGCAGCTGGTCTCCTTCAAGTCGCTTTGGGAGCAATCTCATCGTTCACTCCCTTCATGCTGAGAACTTCCAGGAAGCTTGCTGCTTGTGCTGGATGCGTTTCTTCTCCTCTTGCTTCACGCCCTTGCAGGTCCCTGCTGTGCGCGTAAACGCTGGTCTCCTCCACGACGGTTTGGGAGACATGGCCTCCTTTCACTCTTCAGAGCCCTTTCATCCTTATGGACAAGATCTCAGTCACAACTATTTCTGAAAGCAGCTGGTCTCCTTCAAGCCGCTTTGGGAGCAATCTCATCGTTCACTCCCTTCATGCTAAGAAATTCCAGGAAGCTTGCTGCTTGTGCTGGATGTGTCTTCTCTCCTCTTGCTCCATGCTGGTCTCTTCAACGACATTTTAGGAGACATATAGTAGCCTCCTCCCTTCATCCTTTCCACGATAGATAACAATTAACGATTAAGCCGCTCTTGCTTTACCATTTGGTGATCTCACCTCTCCAGCCTCTCCTCGCTGGAGGCCCTGGGAGGCAGGCTGACCTCCCGTTTGTTGCTTCATCGAGGCTCCTTTGCTTCCTTTTCCTTCTCTTGATGTCTCCTTCTAAACCTGGGAGAGCTCTGTCTCCCTTTAGTCCTATCTCTTCTGTCCAATGATTCTGTATCTTGGCTTTTCCCAGGATGAACACCCTTGTTCCTTTCCCGGCGGGCTGACAACATTCTACTCAGCCTTGGCCATATCCTCAACGGGCTGGATAGGAGCTCCTTTTGCAACCAGTTGAAGGCGTGGCGATCCTTGATTTGTTGCGGGGCCTTCCCTTTTTGCACGGCAAGATCTCTTCATCAAAGACCATCGCTGCACCACCAGTGGCTTGAGCCAGTGCCGCATTGAATAGCCCCTGCCCTGCTAGTGATTACTTCCCGGACGCGTTGTGGGTTCAAAGCAAATAGGCAAATCAAGTAGTGTAGATCAGCGGCTTCTTCCTGAAGCGATCTTCTGGTACTTTTTGTGTCTGCCCGATGGAGTGCTGCTGACGTCATGGTCCCAGAAGAGCGACACGAAAATGGAGTCATCTCTTTTAAAACTATGACAGAGATGAGACTCACATGCCTCTGCGTTTGTTTGCCGCTTGTCCTTTCCATGGGATTTGCAAATCCAAGGCTTCGACATCGGAGTCACCACGAACGCGTCCAAGGAGTATATACAGGTTTCGGCTTTGCTTCAACTTCGTGCAATTCACCATAGCCTGGGCATCCTTTTTGTTGACAGCTTCGCCTTGTGCCAACAGCCATCCAGTCTTAACGAACAAAGTTTCAAGATGTTGCAGCTGGCTCACCGCCATCCCCCGCAGGCAGTGTGAACTGTTCGAATCGAAATACTTCACTGAAAGCCAGAGCTACAGAAAGTAATGCGGGAATTCTCGTGTTTACCCACGTAAACGTAAGTACATATATATGTGTGTAATTATATAAAATACATATTGCATATCCATGCGTTTTGAAACATATTATTCGGTGTGTGTCTGTGTATATATACATAATATTCCATGACAAGGGCTATTTTAATCTATTTTATACCAAAAATGTAGGTATCTAATTAATTGATATTATTTGAAAATCATCATCCCACGTATGGATCAAAATCAACCAATGCTTGAAACCACCAATCAGTTAAGCAGGTTATGGGGGATTATGGGGGAGACCCTTCGCATCCCACCATTTTTTCCAATGGAATGGTTGCGAAACTGCCAGATCTCCAATCCCAATATGGGGGGGTTCGTAAAGTGGGGGTACCCCAGTCGTCACCATGGGTTTCAATACTAAGTCATGGTCTGACTTGGATGATTTGGGGTAATTACTCCCATGATCTAGGAAACCTCCATTTTTCTACATCACCAATTTTGGTTGCAAAATCCCATAATATACCATAATAATCCTAACCTTCCCATCTTTCTACCGTTCCTTTGTTTCGGGCCCAGGCACCAGCTCGTGGTCGACGCAATGCATTGCCTCATCGCGTCGAAGATCGCTGCTGCGATGGCCGGTGAAGTCGACCAAGGCCACTTCGGCCTCTCCTGATTGATGATAGCTGGAGATTATGGATGTGAATTATATTGAATTATGGAGATTCATGATGGTTATCATAATCTCCAATGATGATTATGATTCCAACTTGAAATGATGGTGATTTAAGCTACTCGGGCGTCGACTTAACTCACATCACGCCGCCAGAGGCACATCTTGTGTGGCAGGCGCTGTGAAAAACACTATAATTAGGCACATCACGCCGCTGAAGTCACATCGCAAGCATGTTTTGGAATGATTCACTGCAGCCAATGAATCCCGCAGATCGTAGACGGGCGCGCAGACAACATGTACCTTCTCCTCCAAAATCTCGAGCAAAAATCAACAAAACACACGCGCGCAGTCATAATGCACTTTTGCCCTAGCATTGCGCAGCAGCGCCGGTCAGAGCCAGCAGTAGCAGCAGCAGCAGCAGCAGCAGCAGCGCAAGCGCAAGAAGCACAAACTTTCGAAACCCCTATAGTTTGCCGGCTATCGGGAGAAAAAAAACATACACGACGAAAAAGGTCAACTATGGAAACCATGGAAAAAGCGAGCTGGCGTTCTGGTAAAACAGCAATAATAATAATGTATAATTATATCATCATTTAGTACAAATATCAAATCACAAGCTGTGTTTTGTATGGTGGGCGCCAATCAAGATGCGACTTCAGCACGAAGATGCGACTTAAGCCAAGACCCCAGTAACGGGCCACGTAACGGCCCCGTGCCTTTTTAGTTATTGTTTTTTCTTAAGTTTATGCTACATGATGTTCAACAAATGGCTACGTTGAGGATGTTAAGGGTTGGGTTGGGGTGGGATGTTAACTTTCATGTACACTTGGAGTCGGTGACGATTTTAGGTTGAGGATGTTATGTTGAGGATGCTGCGTTGAGGATGTTATGTTCAGATGTTAGCTTCAAGTTTGTTCTGCTTTGGAAATTGACAATTTTCACATAGTCTTGTTGAGAGAGATGTTGTAAATGTAGGTTTGGAATTATGCTCATGTCTTTTGACTTGCCTGGCTCTGAGGATTGCTTTGTTTTTCCATTGCCCTTTGTCTCACCTAAGTCTTGCTTCGTCGCGCGTCGTTTGGACTGTGTCCTGGGACTGGCTTGTAGAGAGGTTCCGCGTTGCTGCAAGTGAGGAAAAATCCTTTGGAAAAATCCTGTTTTTTTTTGGGTGGCCTCCAAAACATTGGCAGACGTAGGACAAAATGCATATGGACCTCCCGAATCCACAAAAACACATATGAAATGAACGTTATGAAAAAAGGAGTTGGCCAAAAACAGCTTAAAACCTGAGTTTTGCTACAGGTAAGGTTGCAGAATTGCAACCCCTAAAAAGCAATTGGGCCATTACGTGGCCCGTTAACTGATTTAATGATGGTTAATTGAATGTCAATTGTTGATTGCTATTGATGAATGTTGCTGGAAAAAGGAAACCAACATCTTGATATATTGCAACCGCCACAAATCATGCCATGTATGTTAACTGTGAATAGAGTCTGCAAAGGCAACCAACATTACATGTGAAAGAATAGTAGAAACCACCGGTGTTAGGCACCTCTGATCTGCACCGTGAGGAGCAAGTGGAAGCTGTGTAAATCGACCTGAGGACGTCGTTTGCGGGGCACAAAAAGGCCATCAATGACGGGAAATTCAGGGAAAATCTATCGGAAACCATGGTGTTCCCCATCATTTTTTGGCGGGTTCCTGTAAATCTTCCTTTGAACCACTCCAAAAAACCATAAATGATGGGGAGCCATCAAACATATATGGGATCCTGGAAATGTCACCCGGCAATGGGAAACCAGATCCACGGATGGTAGAAATCCACAGTGGATGATTCAGGTTCATGTGATGTTGGAAATATCTTGAAACTAATCTTAAATGGATTAAAGTTAGACTGGGTAAAATGTGTAAAATGCCACATGTGGAATCCCAATCTCATTGGGGCTTTGGTGCCAAGTCGTTGGCGTGCGGTGTTTTTTCCTGAAAATAGCGTGTTGATATTCATAAAATATGAATCAATTCTCTAAACATCACTAAACCATTGCCCTGGCCGAACAAACAGAGTCACGAGTGTCAAGCAAGCTTCCGTGCAGGACCTATTGTAACAGGCAAGATCAGAGGAAAAATCCTCTGCGAAAACCATGTGATCCTTTTTGTTTGCTTTTTTTGGATTGTTCACCTACCACATGATCGATTTGAATCGCTGGTCAAGGGTCACTTTGGTCAATCGGACTGGTCGCAGATCGCATTGAAAAACGGCAACGAATCTGCGGAAAAGTCCTGAGGTCAATGTTGTGGTTTCTCATTGCGTGGGTGTTTTTGGGCCGATCATTTGAACAATACCCACTTCAGCGAGGAGAGAGAGAGAGAGAGAGAGAGAGCCCCCTCACCAAAGACACCAAAAGGAAAATGGGGTGTACCCTGCAAATGGTTAGGGTGTACCCTGCAAATGGTTATTTAAATGGGAATACTGATTATAATCTATTGGAATTAAGGGTACTTAAACTCAGACAAACCCATAAAAGTATGTCAAGTCGCAGCTTCTGCTCTGTATGTCCTGAGCACGGACTATTGGAGTACGACTTTCTGACTGTGAGGGCTTGAGGATGGGACAGCAGCTTGACTTCTCCCAAGCAGTTATGATCTTTGGGACACAATGGATGAGAGCTTCCAAATCGCTAGGTTCCAAGTCCCAGTTCTAGATTGACATGTTAGAACTGTTGCATGATTTTATCTGGGTGAGTCATGTGTGTTTTCATGCAATAGTAACTATATAAGCTGCATTCAACTGCGCTGCCAAAACCCCAGAAACTGCTCACAGCTTGGCTGAACATGCATGAACATCCAGTGCGCATCGTATGAGTTACCTCTACCTGAAAGGATTTGTTCTTTCCAAGGGCTATATAGAGGACAAGCCGCTTCGATGATTGACCCATACAGACCCTACACGATTTTGTTCGTTTTGTGGATCGTTATGAAATTATGGTCACCGACAGAATTATGGAAAAAAAAACGTTCAAGTTAGACAGGCGGCGCCTGCGTCCGATTTTTCCATAATTGGATTTTTCCCCATAAGGGTTCAAAATATCCCGGAAGTGATCCGAACTTTTTTTTTCCATAATTCTTGGAGGTGGCCATTATTTCCATAATTGATTTTTCCTGTGAAATCAGGGGGCTAGGGCAGATTGACCGGTTTTTCCATAATTACTTTTTCCATAATTAATGTTTGGGGCTCCACCTGTTGGACATGTCATGGATCCACAATTCAAACCCCTTTTTTTTGGGGGTTATGAAAATATGTATGCAAATGCAAGTATGTAGTATCAACCCAATTGGTGGCTTGGCAAAAGGAAACATCCCGCATATGTATGTACGTACAACAATGAGTTTTGGTGGTGCAGTTGTTTTTCCTTAGGGGCATATTTTAGACACATATTTTCTATAATTCAATATTCCCCCTTAAAATGCATTCAAATTGCGAATCGATGGACATACAGTCACCGACAGAATTATGGAAAAAAATATGGAAACAATAATTGTGGAAAAAAAAGGTTCGTAACTTTTCTATCATAGACAGGCAGCGCCTGTAAATTGAAACGTTTTTTTCCATAATTCTGTCGGTGACTGTATATATATATATAAATAAATATAAATATCATATATAAAATATAAAAAATATGTCGTTCATAATACACATACATTAAATAATATATATATATATTTGCTTATGATATTTAAAAAAAACAATATATATAATAAAATATCGCATATATATATATTTATTTAAATTAATACAAATTATATATAATTTAAATATATAATATAATATTCAATGAAACAAATAGAATATATAATGCAAATTAAATAATATATAAATATGTATTCATAGACTAAATAATAAGTAATATGAAATACAAATATATTATATGATATATTTAAAAATACAGTAAATCAAACAATACAAAATATATATTATATTAAATGTAAAAAATATATAGTACATACTTTAAGATACAGAAAATGTTATATACACTAGGAAAAAACAATATATAATATAAAATAGTTAATAATCAATATATATTTTAAAGAAAAATATAGAAAATAAAAACATATAATATTAAAAAACAAATCTATATATATATAATCAAAAAATATACATTAGATAGAAATATATATATATCATATATATAAATATAAAACAATTTTTAAATACAGAATACATACTAATAAATATTAAATATATATAATTAATATATAACATTCATTTAATATAATAGATATTATACAAAATACTATATATATAGTGTGTATATATATATATACTGGACGGCTTCTGAGTGGTGCGTGCACAGCGGCGGCAGTGCAGCGCAGCACGAGGTTAAACGTCCAACAGGTCGCTTTGTACACATGTCAAAGAGGGGTGCAAGAGTTTGTCCCCACCCAACTTCCATGGTATACCACAAGCTGTGGGATTGCACAAGGGTACAAACTTCAGATGTTTCCAGCAGGGAAAGGGGCATTCTCGGCGGACCTGTCTCCTCCAGACCCGTCGGGTCTTGGGCGTCTGTATTACCAATACCACGCCAGCATCTGGTCCAGCAAGCATGTCTTCAGGCACCACAACATAGCGCACTCTTAACCCTAATACTTCACCAGGACGAAGGAGACACTCAAAGCCAAGCCAGAACCCTAAAGCTGCTGCCCACCAACGTTCCCTAGTTGCTCCCCTGGAATTGTAGCCCTTGCTAAATGCTGCCAAAACCAAAGCTTCCAGCAAATGACGCGTAATAGGGGTTCGTGGTCTTGATGGCCGAATGGCTTTCCAGCCCCCTTAACGGCTTGCCTTATTATGGGTTGAACGACTGGATGCCTCAAATACCCGAAGGTACCGGACACCGCAGCCAACGGGACATGATCAATTCATGTTTTCACGCAGAGTGGCCCTGACCCGGGCCATGTGGTGAAGAACCGCTCTACCATAGGCATCACACCCACGTGGGGGCCAAGCAAGACGATTTTGCAATTCATCTTCAGGGACCTCAGGGCGGCCGGAAGACAACTGTTCGGCGGAGCAATGCCAGGAGAGATGTTCCCAGACAGGTGGGATTTGCTCACCACAAAAGGGACATTGTTCCCTCACTTCGTGTCCACGCATCTTATCATAACATGCCGTGGAATGCGCAGAACCAAGCATTACGGCCCTCTGATGACTATCACACGTGAGAGAGAACAACTTGCGGGCATCGGAAACACGACTTTCCTCATACGGCACATCAAGCAAATAATGCCTATCACGGCGGTTCTGCTTTTTCCAAAGGGCAAATTGCACTCGGCGCCAACTTTCTCTCACCTTGTGCTCGGTGAGTTTCACAACAGCTTCATCTGGTTTGGATAAATCGACATGACCCAAATCCTCATGTGCAAACATCCATGGACCGCGAAATTCCCAGTTCAGCTCTCGCATGCGTGCGCAAATGAAACTCTGCCAGCCTCCAGGTCGTGGCATCCTTCGCCAAGGGGCACGAACTTGGCGCATGGTCCGAATGGAAGACATGGTGGCCCAAAACTCAGCATGATACATATGACCTACAAGCAGGTTGAAAAGAGGTCTCGAAGCGTTACCTTGCAGATAGGAAATGGCATGCCATGCCTTTCGAAGCGAAGGCAACTGTGACTGCGGCAATCGTTCAAACCAAGCGCCCCAGGTGGCGAGTGAAATGATTCTGGACCTGTACAAAGACATCCTGATATCGCGGGCAACCGGCAATTTCTGCAAACGGTGAGCGGCAAACACTGCTTCTTGCAAACGGTTTTCAAGAACAGGGGAAACAATAAGGTCACTTTCCTTAAAGTCAATACCTAAGACCCGAGTGGCCGGTCGGAGATACTCACCAAACCCTGCGTCATTGATCTCTTGCTTTTGTTGCGCAGTGCAGGCAACTAAACGCATTTTTTGAACGTTTTCATGGAGACCCAAAGTGGCACTCCAGCTGCGCCATCTATGGATGCCAGCAATTAAACGTGGAACATTAGGCGCGCTCAAAGCGCGATCATCAACGTATGCAACCTGACGCAAGTCTGGAATGGAAGACACATCATGAAGGGGCCTAATGAGCAACATGATAAGAGCCAGAGGTGCAAAGGCATCACCTTGCGGCATGGAGGTCTGGACATGCTCCGGCGTTGGGTGCACAGCTTTCCCCAAGCACAGCCATCGCACTTGATGACCCCATACAAACATCAAAATGTTAGCCCACTCATCTGGCAACCCTTGCAGTTGCATGTTTTCAATGGCCAAACCTGGGTGGACAAAATCAAAACATTTGGAGAAATCTAAAGAAGCAAGAACTTCCTGGTTTTCAAACGCTTCATTGAGTTGCCTCCATGCCGTGGCAACCCCCCGGGATTTCAAGCCTCCATGGCACTGCTCGGGGACCCGAGACGCAATCCATTCCTGAACCTGTGGGGTCCTCACATAAGATGAGGAGACCAACCGAAGAAAAATGCTTTCAACTGCAATAGGCCGCAAAGACCCTACAGTCCCACCGTCATCCTTTCTTAAATGAACCTGACGAACCTGCAGCCATGCCTGTGGGAATTGTTTTAACTGAGACCAATGCAAAACCAAATCACGGTAGTGATCCCAAGCAACAAGCGGGAAATGGCAAACTTCGCTGCCGGACCAACCGTCACATCCGGCTGCAGACCCCGAGGCTCTGAGAGCGGCCTGATGGATGAGGGCAGCATCTGGCATCCAATCAGTTTGGGGTCCAGCCAGGGCTTCCATTGTTCTAAATTCCGGGGGTAAGTGTGGAACGAGGTCATCACGTTTCCAAATACGCTGCCAAAAAGAACGAATACAATCAAGGGTTTGCGTGATCGTGGCGCAAGAATCTTCGGAAACAGAGCGTGGTGTTGGAGGTTTGTGAGGCTTCATCCACCGGGTCACCTCTTTGCCCCCCTGGCGCATTCTGGTACGCCACTCGGTCAGCCTTTGGTTCTTGGACTTCCTGTTTTCAAGCGCAATGCGTTGTTCAAACACTTCAATAGCATGGTTCCAAGACCCCCAAAGCTCATTGTATTCAGACGGCCAAGTCGACCATAATTTTTGCAAAAGCTTTTTGTCTCCCTGGGACTTGGCTAACTGTCGCTTCACTTCATAGAGACGACCAAGCACATTAACAAGTTTTCTGGCAGGGAACGTATTCACCTGGGGGCGTTCAGCCTTGATCACACGAGGCAAATTCCCGCGCGCATGGCCTGGCCTAGGCACGGGCTGGCCACACAAGTGCAATGCTTCACGCATGCTCTTTTCAGCAAACTGGTGAAAATATGCCCAATCTTGGTCGGGATCCTGAGAAAAACATGGCACGTAAGCGGCCCATTGTTCTGCAAGCACGGCCCGCCATTGCTCAACAGGCACTTCCGGAGGACATTCATAGTTAGGCCGCCAAGCGAACCTCCACGTATCAGTCTGGAAAATGGGCAAGCGCAATCTAAGCCAAAACATCTTGTGATCAGAAATCTTACATTCACTGTAACGCGGGCAATCAGCAA